GAATGAAACGCCGATAGAAATTACAGAACCCAAGAAAAGACTGTACGTCTTTGACCTTGCGTGGCACAGGCCAGTCGACGATAGCCGCAACTTTCTCCGGAGACATCCGGAAACCATCAGGTGAAAGGATATAGCCCAAGTACTCACAAGACTCCACACTGAACTCGCACTTAGATAGTTTGCAATAAAGTCCAGCGTCGCGTAAGCGTCGGAGTACCTCCCGTACATGTTTGCGGTGCTCGGAGGGGTTGTCCGAATAGATTAGTATGTCGTCAAGGTAAACAATGACGCACACATCCAACATATCCGCGAAGAGGCTATTGACGAAGCGTTGAAAAGCCGAAGGCGCGTTCATGAGGCCTTCAGGAACAACCCTCCATTCGTAAGAACCATACCGTGAGCGAAACGCTGTTTTCCACTCGTCACCCTCCGCTATGCGGAGCAAGTGGTAAGCGTGACGCAAGTCCAGCTTCGTATAGATCCTAGCTCGACCCGGAGCGTCAAGGAGATCGGAAATGAGCGGAAGCGGATAGCGGTCGCGTTTAGTGATACGATTGAGACCACGGTAGTCGACACAAAGTCGAAGAGAGCCGTCCTTCTTCTTAGCGAATAGGATCGGAGCACCATGAGAGGATTTAGACGGATAAATGAAGCCCGCCTTGAGATTCTTGTCGATGAAGTCGCGTAAGGCTTCGAGCTCGGCTTGAGAGATAGAGTAAAGGTGTCCGATAGGCGGAACAGCTCCGTCCTCAGTCTCGATGTGCAAGTCGAACTCTCTATGCGGTGGCAGATTATAAGCTTCAGTCTCTGAAAAGACTTCAGCGTAGTCATGGTATTCGGAAGGGAGTCCGTCAGGCGGGCCAGATGCAGAAGCCGCATTACCACGGACCGTCGGAACGGTGGTCCGTAAGGTATACTGAACGGTACCTTCTTGACGAATAGCTGCCGAATAAGCCGCAGCTGAGACAAGAGAGATGTGAGGGGCCGAAAAGGGTGAAGTGCCTTGACTAGAGGCCGAATCCATAGAAGGATCAGACTCCATAGAAGGAAGCAAGACAGGAGGAGGCGACAAGGGAGTGTTCAGAGGCGACGAAGGGGCCGGAACGGTGTCCGCCGGAGTGTCGTCCGTAGAGGATGGTTTCTGAACCAAGACAGGCGTAGTCGCCAGTGGTGTCGACACAGGATCACTAGGAGTAGTGGAACGGAAAGAGATACTGCCTGCGGACCAGTCAATCAACGGATTGAAGCGGTGCAGCCAGTTGTATCCAAGAACCAGTTGACTAGGAGGATCAAGACGAGTGACATAGAAGTCCAAGATTTGAATGTCGCCAGAAGGGAAAAGAATCGGTAGCCGGACTTGGCTCCGAATGATAGAACTAGAGCCGTCGAGATATCGGAGCTTAACGGGCGCGATCGAGTAAGGCACAAAACCATATATTTTACACGCCTGAGCAGATATAAAACAGTGAGAGGAGCCAGAGTCGATGAGTGTCCGTAAGCGGGAGTTGAATCCCGCGGCAAGTGAAGAGAGTACAGAAATATGCGTGGTTGAATACGCTTCGGGTCCGGATAGCGACTCCGAAAGAGGTCCGAGGGCGTCCACAGCAGAGAATAAGTCGAGATTAAGAGCGTTAGGGGAAAGAGAGGAAGCGTTGAGAAAAGCCTCGGGCCAAGTAGGGGCACTGCCAGAGTCAACGCAACCCTGATGGAGTGCAGAGGCATCAGGGCTGCTGTCTATTTTTTTGACTCGGCAGCGTCGGAGGCAGGAGCAGCCTCCGTGGTCGAAGCTTTGGCCTGAGCATTGGCCGGACGCTTCTTGCAATTGTCAGCCGTATGACCCTTACCTCCACAATAGAGGCAAAGGCCCTCTTTGATCCGTCGTTCCTTCTCCGCAGCATTGAGATGGCCACCCTTCAAAAGGTGAGAGAAAGTCGAAGTCTTACCCCCGGAGTTGTTTCCGTTACCGGACCCGGAGCCAGAGGCGCGATTATTGCCCCCGTTCGACTTGTTGTTGCCGTTGTTGTTGCCTTTGGAGTTGGAGTTGGACGAACCAGAAGTTCCAGTCGATGAAGAACTGGATCCCGAAGACGACGAGTTGTTAGACCCGCCAGACTTCTTCCCACCACCCTTCTGGTTACCGCCACCGGAGCCAGACCCTCCGGAATCCTTGAGATTATTCTCGCGGATTATCTCCTCCTTGCGTCGCCAATAGCGAGTGTCGATTTTGACTGCCGCAAGGCGCACGCCGACCAGTGTGTTCGCGTAGTCGACGCGAGAAAGCTCGTCCTTGATGCGTCGAGGGAGACCTTCGTAGAATTGGGATCGGAGGGCTTCCGGACCCCAGAATGTGTGAGACGCAAGTCGAGTAAACTCGATCACATAGGTCGTAATCTTGTCCTCGCTCTTCATCCTCAAGATGCGGAGTGATGCCTCCGCGTCACCAACCGGATCAGCCGGACCGAACGTAGTCTGAAGCTCTGATAGGAAGAGCTCCAAATTTCCGTCCCAGTACGGAACGGAGTCCGGATCGTCGCTGAACAGTTGGGGTTCAAACCACGACAAGGCATTACCTCGAAGATAAGAGAGGATGTAGACAATCTTCTCCGAGTCCGTAGTGAACTCAGAGGGACGTTCAGCAAAATGCAAATAGCACTGAGTGAGGAAAGGACGAAGCTTTAAAGGGTCAGAGCCTTCGAAAGGCTCTGGATTACGGAGATTGGACTTTCCGTTTCGAGACGTTTTGAGGGAGAATTGTTGAGCCGTGGCCTGATTTTGCGACATAGTGTTAATCGCAGCAGCCAGAGCAGCCAGACCAGAAACGATGCTAGCTGCCATTCTCTCTCCATCAGTAGGTCCCCTAGGTGCCGGAGGGGCACCCGGGCCACCAGGACCACCAGGCGGGTTACCTCCCGGAGGACCTCCGCCTCCAGGACCACCGCCGCCAGGACCACCAGGACCGCCGGGTCCGCCGGGGCCACCTCCTGGGCCACCGCCGCCACCCGGACCGCCAGGTCCATCAGAACCATCAGGACCATTAGGGTCTTCTGGACCCCCAGGACCACCGGGACCCTCACCAAGCGGGCTATTACGACCGCCAGGGGAGCCAGGGCCATCTCCACCATTATCTGGCCCACCAGGATTAGCAGAACCAGAACCAGTACCATGTTGTTCCTCTGTTTCAACAGGGGGAGGAACAATTTCACCTTGTTGCTCTACTTCCTCATCGATTTGGGTGAACCGGGTGTGATCCGGTATCGCAGCGGCCAATTCGGCCGGAATGGTTCCGCGCAAGCCAGTTACATCAGCATTAAATTGCCGAATAGGATTGTTGATTGGGAGAGGCGGAACAGGCGGATCCAAATAAGTCGATGGGTGAGGAGCGGAGCGTCGTCCGAAGTTTGGTTCTAAGGACTGACGTGCCGAAGGGCGCAAAGTGACGTATGAAGCGCCTTGAGGCAAAGGAGAAGGTGAGACTGGATGTTGCATGGGAGCGTGAAGAGCAGGGGGTGTGTTGTAAAGATTCCCAGGGGGAAACGAAGAAAACAGAGCAGAATTTCGCCGATCAGCATGAACTCGTAGGTTTAGGCCCTCGTAGAAGTTAACCGGAGGAGCCGGAGGAGACGACTGTTGAGGCCATCCCGGACGAGTCGGAAATCGACGAGGATCGTTGGGGGTGAGAAACGTTGTTGGGAATTGTCGTAAGACATGAGGAAAAGCCAGACAGATGAGCTTGATTATACTGTCAAGTGCCGTGCAGAACAGAGGGGGTTTCTACTATAGCTAACAAGCCAGTAGCTGCCTGACACGAATGAACACAAGACCAACCGGACCGGAGCGGAGTCGGAGCGGAGCAAGGTCCGCGAGCGGAGTGAAATCCGGTTGAAGGACAAGAGAAGAGAGAAGAGTTTTCGGAGTCGTTCCGCACAGAGGAGGAGTGCAAGTAACGTTTATAATCAAGCTAAAGTACCGTAGCTACTTTAGCTGCTTAAATACTACAAGTAAGTAGAAAGGGAAGACCATAAGTAAGTACAAGGTACGGAGTGCATATGGAAAGTAACAAGCATAAGGACATACGGAGATATAAGTAACAAGGCGAAAGACATACAGAGTACAAGGTCGCCGGAGCGACCGGATCGGATCGGGCCGGAACCCGGCGGACCGTGACCGGTCCGCGGGCCGCGGCACATGACGGATGCACGGATATGACATGCCCTTGAGTTGTTACCCCGTTCCCACGCTAGAACTGCTGCGCGGTTCATCGAGTTCTTGCCTATACACCCCTCCCCTTTCGTCGTCGGGTCTGGTACCCTTGAACCCACCTGCTTAGTCATCTCCGTGATCACGTGACCACACCGACTCTGTTTATGAGAAACAACTTGGCATAACCTTGGTTAGACTGTGACTATGCTCAGACGCATCTTGCCAAATATGGAACGTCGCCCTCACCTGATGGAGCGACCCATATCTGGAACATTATTGCTATATATGGCATATTGTTTGATGCTCTTGATGCTGGCTTCAGTGCTATCAGCAACGACAATAACAAAAACAATAAATAACATATCAACAACAACAAATATATTCGATGTGACGGTGACTGTGACTACTACCCTTTTGGGAAGTTGCTTTGGTTTTGGTTTTGGTTTCGTATTGGGTTGGTGTTTAGAGGGAGTTGGTCTTTCCTCTTATGATATGGTGAGCAGGTCTTACATGTCTACACCCACACCCACACCCACACCCACATCCACATCCACACCCACACCCACATCCACATCCACATCCACATCACCCACATCATCACTATCATCATTGACATCATCACCACTTACATCATCATCACTCTCTATCTATCTATGGTTCCCACTCAGCTTTGTCATCTTCCTCTTCTTCTTATGGGTTGCAGCATGCATATACTTTGCATGGAGCCCTGACCTCACTCAGTTTGATTTAGTTGTTTGTGTTGTTTGTGGAGTTTCCACTTTCATCATAGCTTCTATTTCATGCGTTTCAATGCTGATTTCCCACCAGAAATCCGACCAAAAATCGCCCAATATCCACTTGGAGAACTCAAGATGGCATCCAAGGTTTTCACCAAGCCATTGAGCACATCGGAAGAGGAAAAACAAGTGATACTCAAGTCGATTTGGGATCGAGACAATCCGACTTGGAAAACCATCGAAGACGAGCTGGCGTCGGCCTGCGATGAACTATTTGGCTGCCCAGGACACCACTATTCGTGTACCCCGGCTGACGAAACTTCCGGCCCCTTCACGAACCACCTTCTTCTCCCTACCCCCGAAGAGGTTATGGATCTCAAGCAGTTCCATTGGCCTGTCTTCAGTAAGACTGTCCCATCAGAACCAGAATGGCGCAGTCAGCTCTACCATTTGTTTCACACAATTGGGTCGTCGCTTGTCTCCTCACCAAATCCTCTCGCACTCTTTGTCGCAATCCTCCATACTTTACTTGGTGGGTCTACTAGTGGTTTCTGGCTTCATACGTTGATTAGTGATTGGCAGGATGGCTTGCGATGTTTCAACTTGGCTATTTCCACCGGGATCCGAGCATAGGGAACCTACTTCGCCTCGCAGAAGCTGTTGCGATGAAAAAATTCGAGATTGATCTGAGACTCGCGCCTGACGCCATCGACGACCTTATCGTCAAGTTTAGACATCTCGGCTTGAACCCTTTGAGTGGTTCGTTGATTGTCGAGAGCAAGCACAACGCGTCAAAGACCTACTCGAAACCCTGGGTGTGGGGGCTGATGCATCCGGCCTCATTATTGATGGTGATAATGCAGTCAAGTGGCACCATTTCGATGCTCCCCGAAATTCCACGCGTTCGGTAAGGTGCAAAGCGAGTCTAAGTACTGGTTCAACGTCTCATCCGTTTTAGGGCACTGTAGAATTCATGTCTGAAGCTCTTCTCCATGATATTCACGCAGGAAGTGATCACTTATACTCCCCTGTCGACGATCTGTGGGCGGTGTACTTTGTCTGTCAATGGGCTGCAGTATTCCGAGATAAAGTCAAACTAAGCCACCTGACACTCCTACGCCAACAGTTGAGCACGAGCCGAAGTACTGCGACACGCCATATTCAACGGCGAATAACAGCCGATGATTTCCAACTCTACGGAGATTTTCTGCCTCAATGCGTATCTTTGCTATCGGCGTGGGATACGAGATTGGAGGCATTGGAGAGAGATTTCAAGGATGCACAGAAAGCCACTGGGGGCAACAATGATCTTTTGCGACTAATGTTCTTGTCGTTTGCATATCGCGGAGTCGGTGATTTCATGGAGGTCTTATTGGAGTGGAAGCAGAGGAACAATATGACTTAGCACTCTCTTTTTGGGCGCCGTTCCTAAAAAAAAAAGCTGTCGGCCGAGGATGACGAGAAGGGTACCAGGAGCAAGCTGAAGCGGGCTTGCGATATGTGTCAGCGCACTGGCAAAAAGCGACGTTTTGCGTAATATTGTAGTATCTGGGATTACTTCTTCTCACATTTACCGAGCTAGGCGGTGGTGGAGAGTCACAAATGAATGTATGAAGAAATTATCGAGGTCGATGACAGGCAGACAATCTATCTCGGAATCAGGCAATCAGAAAGCTACTACTAGGGCCGCTGGATCCTCGCTAGCATTATTCCACGTTGACGAGTCTGCACTCCAGGAGCATGCTGCCCGTTCCGCGAAGTCACGATGTCGGAAGCGACGTCCTCCGACTCCAGCATCGATCCATGTTCAGCATGCTGACTTGTACTATCTTCACTATCCGAGTAATCAGCGACCGTTGATGCGGCAACGGCGTGGTGAGTGAACTGGCTAAGGCTGAGGATGTTCCTCAGTTTCATTGGATGGGAATAGGGATAGGAGCGCACTTACCGGTGATGATGCCGCTCGATCTCCTCATCAGGGTTGTAAACCATCAAGGTCACAGCACTACGAACAGGTCTCTGCCAGTGCGTTATTGCTCAATGAGGACAGCAGAAGTTATAGAGCACTTGCTGGTGTCAGTGGTTCAAGTTGTGGGTTTTGAATCGTCACAAGAATAGGAATTTCAGCCTAATAGTTCAAATGATGAGGGTAGCTGAAGCTTCAAAAACTAACATTTACCGATGGTTCTAGGTTTCGCGTCGTTTCGGGAATGGGAAGCTCAGCCTGACAGTCCGAGTCTGGGGTATGGGAGCTTGAAGGCTAGTTTCGTATTGAGCAAGACTTTTCAGTCAGCCCAGAACAATTTCAGATGCTCACAATTGGCTCCGGGTGAATTGCTTGCGATTGGGTTAGTGATTGAAGAAATGGTGTGATGCTCATGTCCTGCGGGCGTAAAATGGGCCTCTCTTTGGCTTTCTATGAAAAACATAGGCACCCTGCGGTTTCAAGAGTGACAAATTGAATACCACCCGGTCTAACTTGTCCCTGCACAAAGTTAGGATAATGGACCAACGTTAACAGCGACTCAGAAGGCGTCTACATACTTGAGAAGATTCTTTTTTGTCTTCGGGGACGGGGCTTGCGGAGTTCTGAGTAGCGATAAGTCATAGAAGAAGAGAAAATATAACACAGTACATTCGAGCCAAATTCTCGCCGACATTCGAAGACTCGGACCGGTCGGAGAGTGGTGTATGTTGCTCTGGGATCAATGAATAAGGTGGGGGAGGTATGCTGTCTCCGTGTCGCTTCTGATTGGATATCCCCTGAAATGGTCGGAAGGTGGGATTTTGTTAGAGGGAGCAAGGTGCGTAATCTGGGCAGACCTTCACTCTGAGCGACAAGTGTGTAGCATCATAATTCAACGATGCTGCCAACCTGCGAGTAGGAATGCTCAGCGTGCCGCGGAAGGGGTCTTGGATAATCTTGTCGCAGACCACATCACGTTTAGTAGCCTGCCTATGTTCGACTAGGTAAGGATATGATGAGAAAAATATGGGTTGTTAGGACTTACAGTTGCATGTCTCTTATTACAGGTGTCAGCTCGTTTTGCGCCCAATACGGCATAGTCTCTCCAAGATCATCAAGGCTTTGGTCCATCACGTCCAGGGCTTCCATTGTCGACTTTGTTGGCGATCGAAAGAGATTGAACTTGGTGCTATTGGGACCAGGAGCACTTGTAGTATCAGTGGAAGGAGATTGACGATCGGACATGAGAGGGAGAGGAGAAAGAGAACCTCCATGCAAAGACCACGTTCAATTCTAAGTTTACACCAGCATGAGGTCCATCGACAATTCCTGGAGACAAGTTAAACGGAAAGTTGCTGTAACTTCACGTGACCGCTGTGACCGTGCCGAATACGTGATCCGCTTATGCCTAACCAAACGTTCGCCTCATGTCCTCAGTCCTGCATGTCAACCTCTGCCTATGTTAATATCTTTCCGTGGTCATGAACTATACTGGTTCGAGCGTCGGGAATTTCTTGAAGCCTCTGGATACCGCCTGCGACCCAAGTTTCATCCAGACTACATACCAAATGCAGGATGGGAAGCCGTTCGGGAATATTTAGCCTCTCATTTCGTGCGTCTGTGCCTATGAGGCGTATTCACAGGCTCAATAGCTTTCAGAAGGCCTGTATCATGGATGCGCGTCGTATCTCGGACGACAAGCCGGTTATACTCAAGACAGTCGTCGCCGGTGATCATCCTTATGAAGTCGAGATTGCCACACTGTTCTCCTCGCCTGCTCTTTCCGGTCATCCAAGAAATCACTGCATTCCTATTCTAGGGACGCTGCAAGACCCAGATGACGCTGGCTTGCAAATACTGGTTATGCCTCGACTCATTAGCTTTTTAACGCCCGAGTTCGACACTGTAGGGGAGGTTGTTGACTGCTTTCGACAATTGTTTGAAGTGAGAGACACTCTCATTGCTTTGGCACATGATTGAGTGCTTCAGGGATTCGAATTCATGCATGAAAATTTCGTGGCTCATCGGTGCGGTACATGACAAGCAAAGCGAAGTATCGTCGTTGATCACCGACTCTTCTCTGTTAGGGACTGTAGCTTCCTCAACATCGTTCAAGATCCAACCCGTTTGTTTCCTTCAGGGTATCATCCGGTAATTACCGCGCAAGACCCCGCGGCGCATTGGAATGCGCACCATATCACTCGGACGGAGTGCTGGCCACGGTACTTTGTGATTGACTTCGGGCTCTCCAGACACTACGATCCAGCGGAAGGGCCGCCACTTGAATACGTCATCATTGGAGGAGACAAATCGCCTCCGGAATATAGAACCCATCAGCTGTGCAATCCATTCCCAACGGACATCTACTGCCTGGGCAACCTTCTGAAGAGATACTTCCTCTTTTCTGGGAAAAGCAAGTACAAGGTGTGTTGATCGACCACGACTGCCAGTGCAAGCGCTAAGCATGAGCATTCAGGGCATGATTCGGCCATCTCTCCAATTCTTAGAGCCCCTTGTGACAGCTATGACGCTGCCAGAACCCTCATTGCGACCCACTATCGGTGAAGTCTGCCAAAAGTTCGATGAACTATGTAGTGGCTTGACCCAGCGACAGCTGCGTCAGCCAGGCCAACGACATTATTTCGGTCCCTTTCAACGTATCCGGCAACTTTGGCGGACAGCATTCTTTGTCCGCCCCATTCCTCCTTACACTCCTCGAAGAGATCGGCCCAAATTGACTCAAGAAATGCATGACTTCTACACGAAGATTCCCCTGGACAAAGGCGATTATCTTTGGCCGACACCGAAACCCAATCGTGCAAGAGCTTGACCTGCGAATAATGCGAGAAATACCTAGACAAAACTATCATGGATAAGTCATCCGATATTAACTGGCTTCGAGCCCCGCGGCGCCGCACTCGCACATGAAGTGTACCAACACGTCAAGTCTTCGAGACTTACGTCAGGTCGGAGTGGTAAAACGGGACAATTCCTCCAATTGTCGATCCTACGTCCAAGGGGGCCTACCTAGGCCTCGTCGTACCACTTAGATGTATATACTACTATCATGTAGTTGCTGGTGGTGAATCGCAAGATTTGATTAGCCTTCGACGCGAGGAGGATGTCGTGAGGGAGAGGAAGACAGATGGTGATGGAATCGGGCGAGGAGTGAGTTTGGGCACAATTATATTGGGGTCCGAAGTTCTCGAGTCGGTCCGGGGACCAACTCAAGCCTAACTACGAGGGACTAGTGACATACAGGACTGAGGAGAAGAGAGACAGTAGAATGGAGTGTAAATGGAGTAGGGATGGAGGGTGGGGAATTTAAATGACACGAATTGTTCTGCGAGCGCAGTGTGAGACGAGGAGAAAGTATGATAGCTGAGACTGACTTACCTGCGAGCGCAGTGTGAGACGATGAGTCTCGACAGCGCTCGCAGGCGGCTTATATACTATGCGGAGGGGGTCCGAGCACTGTGCTTGGGACTCCAAGCGCTGGCGCGCTTGGGCGGCGTCACGCTTGCCTGCTAACCCGGGTCAATCCACCCCACCACTAATTGACCCGCCACTTGATCATGATCATGTGACCCCACTGCTCTTGACCTTTGACTTGCCTCAAAGGCTGTTGAACGTTGAACTTCAAAGCCTCGTGCTCGACCATGTTGACTCTGAATCGCAACGATGGATTTCTCTTTTCGCCGTCATGAACTGTACTGGTTCGAGCGCCGGGAATTTCTTGAAGCCCTCGGATACCGCCTGCGACCTAAGTTTCACCCAGACTATATACCGAATGCTGGATGGGAAGCCGTTCGTGAATATGGAGCCTCTTATTTGGTGCGTTGGTTTGGTGCTTTTATATCAAATTACTACTAGCATGTTGAGCAGCTCTCAACGGGTTTTAGAAACTTCGTATCATGGATGCGCGTCGCATATCGGACGATAAGCCGGTTATGCTCAAGGCAGTAGTCGCCAGTAAACATCCTCATGAGGTCGAGATTGCCACACTGTTCTCCTCGCCCGCCCTTGCCGGTCATCCAAGAAATCACTGCATTCCTATTCTAGAGACGCTGCAAGACCCAGAAGACGCTGGCTTGCAAATACTGGTTATGCCTCGACTCATCCGCTTTTTAAGGCCCGACTTCGACACTGTAGGGGAGGTTATCGACTGCTTTCGACAATTATTCGAAGTCAGACTCTCAGTACTTTTTCGGCGGATAACTAACTAGCTTTAGGGATTCGAATTTATGCATGAACATTTCGTCGCTCATCGGTGTGTTGCAGAATAACTACTGTCATTTAGCCTGACATTTCTTCAGCGACTGCAGCTTTCTCAATGTTGTCCAAGACCCAACACGTTTATTCCCTTCCGGGTATCATCCGGTCATCACCTGGCAAGACCCCACAGCGCGTCGGGACGCGCATCATATCACTCGGACGGAGTGCTGGCCACAGTACTTTGTTATCGACTTTGGGCTCTCTAGACAATACGATCCAGCGGAAGGGCCACCACTTGAATACGTCATCGTCGGAGGAGATAAGTCGCCTCCAGAGTATAGAACCCATCAGTTGTGCAATCCGTTCCCAACGGACATCTACTGTTTGGGCAACCTCCTCAAGAAATATTTCCTTTACTCCGACAAACAAAAATATAAGGTGTGTTTCTCGCTTATCGTCACAAATCAAGAAACTTGAGTCAGTCAGGGTACAATTCGTCCATCGTTTAGTTTTCTGGAGCCTCTCGTCACTGAAATGACGCTGCCCGATCCTTCAATGCGACCCACCATTGGGGAGGTCTGTGAGAGGTTCGACGAACTATGCAAAGGTCTAACTTGGTGGCAACTACGTCAGCCAGGCCAACGACATCATTTCGGTCCTTTTCAGCGCATCCGGCAGCTGTGGAGGACAGCATTCTTTGTCCCTCCCATTCCTCCTTACACTCCTCGGAGCGATCGACCCCAATTGAGTAAAGAAATGCGCGACTTCTACACTCAAATACCGCTGGACAAGGGCGATTATCTTTGGCCAACACCGAAACCCAGTCGTGTCAGAGACTAGAGATTGACCTGCGAATTATAGGAGGATTCATACGCGTACATTGAGCCTGCGTCAGAGGACGATTGCCTCCAACTAACCTGAAAAATGTCGGTGGAAAGAACATACTTCAAACTCTTGTTCGATTCATCCCAGGTCAAAGAGGGCTGGCCCGCTAATGAATGCACTACATACATACTTGAAAGTACACTATCTCCTGTTGCGCCTGCCAGACCTTACGTAATCGTAAATGACTTTCTTCACCACTCTCAATGGGCCTGGGTTGCAACGTTGATCCCTCGTTGCTCATCATGCCAGTGGCCATAAAACACCGATTCGCCAATCCTACCAACCGCGCTTGCCGTCGCAGCTGAGAATGGGGTGCAGAAGGGAGGGAAAGAGTTTGAAAACTGCTCAGCATACTACTCGAGTACTATTCAAGTTCAAGTTCGTATATCACCACAATTTACAAACCATCTTCTGCGAGCCCAGCAACATCTTGGCCACATTCACCGATGTCTTGCCTTGTCATCTTTCCTCAACAATTGCTGATTTCATGGAACTTTTGGTGGAATGAAAGTCGAAGAACACGTATGTATCCTTAATCGCGGATACTAGTATTGCGCTGACATCAGAGGCGTTTTTGAACGAGTGGCAGCGGGCTCAAACTGCAAGAACTCGCATTGCTTATTGGCCAGTAATGCACACCGAAGCCTTCTTATCTCGAGAGTGTTTCAGGTCTACAAATATATGCCCGTCATTACAACAACTTGAAGTCCTATGATCGTCCAGATACTCGTTCTCAAGTTGTTGGATGCTTGGACAGCAGCACTAACATTCCCCCCTGGACTCGTGCCGCCCAGCCTCCAGTCCTTGCCCGACATCCCGTTGCTCGTGGCCAACACACCCGACGCGACCGTCGCCGTGTTTTTCGTGTTCGTTGCGGCCGTGGTCGGGAACGTGACCGTGGCAATGTCCGCTGATGGCGCGATAAACACTAGCGCAAAGGCCGGCGCAGATACTGGAATGGCGCATGTGTTGGCGGTAGTATCGCATGCAATATTGACGACATTGAGCTCGTTTTTAAGTCTCCCGTCAACTTGGTGGACTGGGCCCAGAGTCTACAAAATACTATCAGACAGAAAAAGCGAGCCCAAACTATGCCACATACTTGACCAGCCCATGTAATGTTGGTCTTGGTGGAGACAGAATCGGAGAGGAAGTATTTGACCTTAACGGACGACGGGACAGTTCCACCAGAAATGGATATTGTCGCGGTATAATCGCTCGCACCAGTCGGATCGGTGATGTAGTTGAACAACGCCACCCTTGCAAGCGCGCCGTTCTCATAGATTGCGTATTGTCTGCGAGACATTAGGTTGTTGGTACGACGGAGACAGGTGGCTCACGGAGTGTAAATGCTGCCGTTGTTGCCCCCAGAATCTACGACTCTTGAGGTATTCGTCTGGCCAAACACTTCTGCCGATATTAGCGCAGAATAATACACAGCTCCGATTGTCCATTCGGAGAACTTGGACTCATTCGTCGGAGGCGCTGGAGAAAAATGAGATAAATGGGACTCATTGGCGGAGAAGGCGCATGCCAGTGAACGGATTATAAAAGACATTCTGCCCTCCAACGTGCATCATCGCGCCGCTGAAATTGGAGTAGGCCATTTGGAGCCCGTAGTCCAACGCCCACAAAGCCGCGCCAAAACTATCAGAGATCCCTGGAAAGCCTCCACATGATGCGCTATTGGTCTCAAACATCAAAAACGGCTTTCCAGCTTGCTGTGCGATCGCTGTTGAGTTGAGATATGGCTCGCAGAGCGTAACACCAAATGTATGGTTCAAAAAGTTGGGAAATTCAGTTTGCGGGTCGTGGAAGCTCCCGATTCCATAGATAGGCTGGCAGTTGTCCGTTGGGTAACTGAAAGGATTTGATGAAATTGAGACGATGGTGGGACGATGAAAGAAACAACGAACTGTTCAACAGCGAGAGCGCCGAGACTGTCTGTGTATTCCTCAATGAAGCCGGTGTTCCACACCATCTCGGGCGTCCATGTGCCCGAGACACTGGGGCCGATGAGGGTATTTTTCACTGGGATGTTGCCGTTCGCGGCCATCGCAGTCACGAGTTGGCCAAATTCGTTGGTGTAATTTTGGGGCGAGTATGTTTTATTTCGGTGACCATGGCTGCAAACGTCGTATCTAACAATAGTTCAGGGGGGAAGCGACCTTACTCGGCGTAAAGATCAGGCTCGTTTGCTACTTGGACCCCGAGTAGATTGTTGCCAAGAATAGCTTCAGCGTATTCGACGATCTGGAAGCGGAAGTCACTGGTGTCGTTGAAAGGCATACCTATAACCTTGTAAGTCCAAACACATGCCGCCCTGAAAACCTACCGATATACCACCGAGCGTTGACCAGAGAGGAAATATTTGACAACAAATAAAACAAGTCCATCGTGTAGATAACAGCTGGCGTCTCTGTCTAACGGGACGTAAGCATCTTATTGAAGTCGAGTTGTTTCAAAGCGCACAGGGTTTTTGGTGTCAGCCTTTTCCTTCGAGATGGCATGTCCATCGGGAAGGGCGTCGACATAGTACGCATATTCCTGTGTGTTGCCACCGATTCTCACGTGTACAGCCCCGGCCCGTTCTTGGATATTTGCCAACAAATTGAGGAGCGGGACCTGGACGTATGATCTGGACATGTGAGGTGAAAATCGGACTTGCAAAGCAGAATAGGTGAGTACGAGTTCTTTCCAACTGTGAAAAGAGTCAGAAACGACGACGACGAGTGATGATACGACACACACATAGCTGAGTGATGACCGACATCTCGACAGAAAAGCCCCAGAATGTTCCCTTTATTGGGATCGACAGTCCAGTCACACTGGAGCTGCTCTGCTGGAGGGTGAGTGTAAAGGCCGCTGCAGGTGGCGGGTTGGGGATAGGTGGAGGCTTGAGCACCGTAGTGTTGTATGCGGCAGCGGTAGTAACTGTTGCAGGGGCCGCTGTGGCCGTCCCGTTTGGGACAGCGAGTGTAACCTGACCAGCTTGCCCATAGACAGTGATTGAGGCAGTTGCCGCTCTGCAGAGTAAGGACGCGACGAAGAGCCCTAGCATGAGCCACAGGAAAAAAGAAGGAGAGAAAGTAGAGTTGCTTGAAGCGCCAGCATTCGAGCTTATTTTTGAAGCGGACCCGCAGCACTTCAAAATTAGGTGTTTATGTATGTTGGGTGGCCGATGTCTCGCGCTTTCGACATCAACTCCGAGCCTGGGGTTGCGAACAGCGATGGTTGTGCGGGTAAATTGACAATAGTGTAGAGCCACATCGTGGTTGAGAGGAAGAGACGGCTCGGAGAAAATTGCTATTTTGGGCATCACCTATCATCACCGATCAAAAAAATCAGAAAAAAATGGTACAGTAAACACTAAGCCCCAATCTCCATCGCCGCCCCATTCGTCTGCTCACGAAGCATCGCGTTATTTATCATGGTGCTTTTCTAGCCGGAACTCAGCATTTCTGCTCGATCAAGTCTAAAAAAATAAACATACCACAAACGTCGCTGGCCATTCAGGCTTCTCAATTTCACGATCCAGTTGTCGCCGGTTATAAATCAGCATATAAGGGCCTGCGTTTGTGTGCAGCCCACTGGGATCTGAAAGAACGACATCCTCGGTGACCTCCCGGACGGTGTAGTCGAGAATATGCCACCACGTGCCGTTATCGTGGACGTAGGAGTAGATGTGCTTGCGCCCCGGGTAGCCGGTATGAACCAGGACCGCTCGCAAATCATATGCGTGCTTTTGGAGCTCAGGGTTGTTTGACACCCGTTCGAGGTCAGCTCGAAGCGTTTCGACTCGCTGGTCGATTACTATGACAAGGTTATTGGTATTGCTTTGAAATGCATGGCTGGGACAAACCCTTGACTTCTTCCTCGAGCTTCTGCAGAATCTTCCTCAACTTCAACGCGTTGTTCTGTAGTGCCGCCGTTCGTTCCGGTATATTGCACTTAAGAACACCGTCGAAATATTCAGGCGAGCCCTTCGGTGCCACGTTTTCGTAGTAGTCGATTGTCCCGCGTAGATTCTCGAGGGTATCTTGGTCCTCAAAACGAGTTAAAGCCCTCCGTCGTTCCATCAGTGCCTCAATCTCGCCTCGATACCGCCGCTGATCCTCCCTCGTCTCATTCGCCAAGTCCAAGTTTTCCGCAAGAAACTCGTCCAAGAACAGCGTCTTAGGGTATGTGAGCGGTTCTGGTGACGGCGTTGGCAGCACTGGTGCCAACACGGTTATCTCGAATGTCACCATTTCGGAGGCTCCGGTGATGAGCTGATGGTCGGAAGAGCCGTCTGCATTGTACGTGTTGAATGTCTGCGAGAGTCGTGTGACAAGAGAGTTTCCGCCTGGGGAAGCATCTGGTGAAATCTCGATGGGGACAACATGCCCCGTCTCGGACTTATAGACGGTCGTCGGAGGGCCAGATGGCGCGACGTGGATCTTGCAGTAAGAGAAATGGAAGAGTTTTCTTGGGGAGTTGAATGAAAAAAAAGTCAACAGAGAACAAGATCAAACGCACGGTCGTCCTTCTTCGAGTTTCTGCTGGTTAAGATCTTCTTGGAGGACATTGACAACCTTTTCAAGAAAGTCTGGACCGCATGAGCATTAGAAGCAGATAGCTGACACAGTACGTTTAGAAAGCTGCCCCACTGAAAGGTTGTGCTGCAAAGGCGGACAATCCCAGGCTTGGATCATGTCCGACTCGACCACAACTGATATGTCACCGATATCAAGTACCGTAAAAACTTCGAGCGATGTCCAGATAGCAGAATCTGCGAGAAAAGGTCATCCCAAATTGTGACCTGGGAGGATGGACAGACCAGGATAGTCGGTGGGTTTGGCGCCGTCCTTCAAATGGAGGCGAAGTTTCGAGCAACGTTGTCGGACTTGTGGGACATGGAATAGACTTTGGAAGACCTGTTGCAGTTGAGAAGCGAGCAGTTGGGTAGAAAGACACACGCACCAAAGCCATATATGCCTTCGACGGCGTATCTGAACGCAACGCAATTGGCCTAATAGTTCAGCTTAGCTATTGCTACGGAGAAACGAAGTACCTTGTCCCATCGCGCAAACTAATAACATCTGGAGGCATATCGTCTGACTCCTCCGCGAAATCGTCCAAACTCGCTTGCAGCGCCTTGTTCAGGTCGTCATCGGCAGGTTTGGCGGGTGAGGCCACCGGTACGAGCGCCCAGTTTGGATCTGGAGAGCGGGTTGTGGCTCTGAAGCGGGTGGAGCTTTCTTCTGCACTCGTCAAGTCGATTGAATTCTTTCTGGAGCCACCAAGGTCACGCAAACCCCGGTCGCGTCCGCGCTCTGGCTCTGTGTAGCCCGGGAAAAGATGGCCAAAGTCTTCGCGTATGCTTTGAGCCGCCTTTTCACGCTCTATTTCCTCGGGTTCCCTCATTCCACCCTGAAATATGTCGTTTAGCGCACTCTGGACATTCCCTTTGCTCTTCAGTAATGCAGCCTCGGCGACATCGCGGTCAACGTTGGTGAACTCGATAATGGTAGATATGTCTTGCTCGTTCAGCCATGCTTTCACCTCGTCGGGCTTGAGAGGCTCGCGTTCTGACTGGCTAGTGTGTGTGGTCGAAGATGGCATGTGTGATTTCTGTGATCCGTTCTCAACTTCGGCTAGATTACTGTTACTTTTATGTAAAGCTGAGATCTGAGAAGTCATGGTATAGCTTGTTCAGTGTGGGTATGGGTATGGGTTGTACAAAATTAAGGGAACGACAGAATGAATGGCACCATTTCCTTCTTCCATCTACAGGCCGGGCGCTGCTTTCCACCACAAGACTTTTCCAACAACGCCGGCGACTCTGCCATTTCGCGCTTCAACAAGGATGTGATGCTACTCTTGGTGACTGGCGGAACAGGAAATCGGCGAACAGGCTTCTTCTCTTTGGCGAGATGCGTGACGTCGTCAAGAATGGCTTGAAACGCGGTCGAGTGTTCGTCAAAGCTCTCTGCGATGGAGTTGAGGGTGCTGTTGTGGACGATTTCGACCAAGACATCATAGAAGTGGACCATTGAGCCGGGCGTGCCGCAGACAACAGGACAGTCGGGGTTTGGACAGCCAACAGGGTCGATGCCGGTCTTGGGGTTCTGGCACTTGCCATGGAAGTAGTTCGGAAAGATGGATTGGCGCAGGTTTGCAAAAGACACGGTCTGATAGGATGCCATAGCGGGCTTCATGAGCGTTTGCGGGGCGATGTTGGGAAGTTTGAGGGCAGAGATGATGTTTTTGCCCTGCGAGTCAATAAGCGAGCTTCTAGACAAAGAGGAAGCTTACAATCTGGTCCATGACGAAATCAACATGGCTGTTTTCGCGTTCTCGGAAGGCTTCGGTGGTATTCGTGATGCAAGGTCCTTCGCAGGCAGAGACATGAAGCGAGCCAACGATGATAAGCACGGAGACGGCGAGGAAACGCATCGGAAAGGAGGGTATTTTGGGAGAAGGTTTGGCGCGTGGATGAGAGACAAGGTCAAGGTTCTTTGATGACATGTGACGAGCCATTTTTCCATCATCTCCACAACAACCATTCATTCGCGCCTTGCTAATAAGCCGCGATTAGCCGACGATGAGCCATTTGTGTTTCCGGGCATCCAAACCCTCAATAATGTGGCAATGCTTCGTCCTTTCCTCGGTCGGACCCGGACAGCCCACGACTTCATAAAACAATCTGCTTGGAAGTATGCCTCTTCGAGTTCAAGATGTTTGGTTTTGCTGCCCTCGTAGTCTCCGCAATCTTGTCCCAGGCTCAAGCCCACTGTAAGAATCGACGTGTTTTTTTCTTTTGCGTCTCGTCTAACAGTCAGCAGACACCTTCCCTTCGCTCATCGTGAATGGCGTGACGACACCGGCGTGGGCCAACGTCCGCCAAACCAACAACTTCAACTCTCAAGCTCCGGTGCGTTGATATTTTTCACTTTGAACAAGTTTGTAAGACATAACTCGCAAATCAGGTCATCGACGTTACCAGCGCCGACTTCAGGTGCTACAACTCCGCGACTGGCGCGTCTGCATCGACCATTGCTGTCGCTGCTGGCAGCACTCTTGGTATCGCGTGCGACCAGACAATCTACCACCCCGGTGTATGTCCGCAATCGACAAGTTCTTCCGCAATCTAACTTATCGCAAGGTGGTCAACGTCTACATGGCCAAGGCCCCCAACGGCAACGTCAGTACCTTCAACGGTGACGGAGCAGTGTGGTTCAAGGTGACTATCATACATTTCAAACCCGGTCTATCTCTGAAAGGCTTTCAGGTGTACCAAATCACTGCAGTCACCAACGGCGGCTCTTCCATTACCTTCCCAGCACAGAGTACGGAGACCATCTCATCAGAAGATCCAGCTAACTCTATGCAGATGTGCCTAGTGTCAGCTTCACCATCCCCAAGTCGTTGCCGACGGGACAATACGTGCGCCTCTTGCCTCAATGACTTCTCAATACTAACTGAGCCCAGCTCGTCCGAATGGAGGCACTGGCTCTTCACTCTGCAAACACATTCCAAGGCGGTATGGCATTTCTTCTCCTTCCGCCCTGTAATTAACGTCGGAATTTGTTTCCTAGCTCAATGGTACATTTCTTGCGGCCAGATCAGCGTTACCGGCGGGGGCAGCGGCACGCCTGGCCCTCTTGTTTCCATTCCCGGCGTCTACACCGGTAATGTATGTTATTGTAAACTCGTCAGTGGAATCCACCAGCTCACCCATGGCAGGAACCCGGTATCCTCCTCAACATTTACTACCCCGTTCCCGCTACCTACACCCAACCCGGCCCCAAGGTCTGGACCGGCTGAAGAGCACGCGAGTTCGCATGTTGTCCCTCCACCAATACCACGATTTTGTTCAGATCCCAGCACGTCAACTTCGTTCGTTCATTCAAGAGCGTGAATCGTGATTATTAGTCATACATCTGCTCTCTGAAACCAGGAAGAATCAACGCAGTCGCATGGTCCTCTCTCAGCGACCCGGCTTTAGTGCGCTGCCATTTTTGCTTTGCAAATGTCCACTCTTCCATTGTCGGGATCTCATTTCCCGTCTTCTCGAAGCCGTTTTCCGTGTAGCCCTCGCGACGAAGAACAGGCGAGTCTTGGATGGTCGCAAGTTTCACATCATTGTGTGGTCTGATTGCCAGTGAGCTGCATCAAATGACTAAGAGAATCGCGAGCCCGACCTGGAGAAGTACAGCAACCCTAGACGATCGACATGCTGCTGGTCCTTGGGCGGCACGGTGACTCTACCCAGATATCAAATCACGAGACTTCTTGGGAGACAAGACCGCCCCACCTGTGAATCGTGCTCTTTACATAGTTGCCCGTCAAGAACTGGAGCGCATCACACGCGTTCACTGTGAGCGTCGCGTCCTGTGGCTTAACCCATTTCCAACTGTTGGTAGTAGGATCGCGGATCTGGAGCGCGGCGACGGGCTGGCGGAAGAGCAGCGTGAAGCTCCCCAAATCTAGAAAGGGCATATGAGTACCGGTAAATTTAAGTTGAACTGCAAAAAGGAAAGTACCAGTATGACCGTATGACCAGTTCTGCAATTTCGCGTTGATTTCTGGCGGATACTTGCTGTAGCGCATGTAACGAAGATGGTCCTCGCTCTTGACGGGATACTGGTGCAAATCGGTGAAGTAGTCTTCCGGAAGCTCAAGCGCGACTGCAAGCAAAACAAACAATGGATCGAGGACCTCAGTATGCAACGACTAGTTGTCATCAGTATCAGCATGGCGCCAAAAGCTGATGACGGTACTCGAGCAAACCTGACAAAAAAAGGCTCAGAACTTGGAACAACCCAAAAATGAAGCTAAATTACTCCTCGATCTCGGTTATATTGGACGCGATGATGTCAGGGTGGTTGTGTAGAAAGTCGCCATTGAACTCTGAATGTGGCGGTCAATAATTTCGGCCGTTCCAAGCAGCAACCCAACTTGGAATGTTGTAGATCTCAATCTGGTCCTTGATCTTGTTCTCGTCGTCGATCCTGGTGCGTCGATTAGATTGAAATCAAGATAAGATAACACGTTAAGTTGCTGACATTCGCCGACCAGCTGGGACGTATCCATTGAACTGGCCCTCGTCTAGCACCGCGTCAGCAGCTCGTACTCAGGCTCAGAATGCCGAAACACAATACCAAGGCCTTTCGGGACATACAACAGCTTGTCCTCTAACGGCAAGTCATAGAAGCGCTTCCCGATGGCAAACTGGCGGTTGACTCGCTCTTGCGGTATATTGAAGTTCTTCACATAAAAGAACCCTTTTTCGCGGAGCGCGCCAATGAGGATTTGGGCCTGTTCTTGTTTGTTTTCTGGGGTGTTGAGCCGACTGAGATCGACGGTGGGAAGCTCCGCCCAGTCGAGTTGTGCCTGGAAGACGGAAGTCGGTCACTGGCAGTCCAAGGTATATAACTGACCTTGGTTTCTGGGACGTAGTTGTAGGATCCGAGCTCGGGAACAGGTACAGGCATGGTCGTTTCAAGTTTGCCGCGCAGTGAGAGCGCGCCTCACGCTGTCCAGGCCCCCTTTATACCTCTACGCGGGGCACCACTTCGGCCCGCGATAGGCTTCCCAGACGTTTCCCATTCGGAGGATGGCCTCATCGCTCTTCGATATGGTGCCAGTGTAGGCTATGGCGCAATGCTGCGTCTTGTGCCAGAAAACTCTTGTCCGCGCCGATGTCACTATGGTTTGGTCGCGGTGCCAGTCTTGCCCCTTTGGAAACGAGAAATTAGAATGGGGATGCAAGGGTGCTTGATCATGACAGCCCCCATCAAGGGTTGAAGATGGACACGTGATTGCAGGGTTCATTTTGACAGACGTGACTCTGCCTCAACTTGCCCTCAACCACACCAGTTTGACCCACGTCGGCGAAGAGGAAGCTATACGCCCCTCTGCCAGTGCCAGCGTCCTTGTCCCCCATACCTCACGTTACCCAGACTGCAGCACCATGTTTGCATTGTCGACCCCCGATTACAAAGTCGCCGTCACCGGTAACGAATCGCTCAACATCGACATAAACATGCACAAGGCACTCCCGACCAAGCTTCGACTAGTTTTAGGAGCCCGAGTGCTCTATCTCGATATCCCAGATCCTTTGACGGTGGGATTCAAGTTCAACGTGCACCCCCAGGCTGGTTCAGCCCGTCCCACTTCCGCGGCAGCTCAGCCTCACTCGGCGAACGAAATCATGATGGGGCAGCAGCTGGTTTCAGCAACGCGACGCTCCTCTGTCTCTTCCGGGACGGTAGTACCTGAAGCTGCAGCAACGCGTGAGCGCGAACAACTCCAGCCTGAGGTTGATTCGACGACCGGCCTCTCACAGAGCCTGGGCGAACTCAACATGCAGGCGGCAAGCGAGGGGGAGATCGTAAGCTTGCATTAATGGTCAGTCTTTTTTGGCGTATGGTCAACCTTGCAGCTTAAACCATGCCAAAACAGGTTAGGAAAAATGTCTTGGTTGTTTGGGTTGGAGCCTCTTTGGAAAAATCACACGACAGTTTCAAGTTCACCTCGCCGAGGATACTCACTAGTAGAAAGATATAGAGTCAGTCGATGGAAAGACAAGTTCTCAATAATTAGAATTCAAATACATAGTTACAATGCATTTCGTTCGAATTGACGCTACACAACTTACGTAGTTAAACAGCAGTAATAATACAAGCCCTAGTCCATAAAAAGGGTCGTTACTCCGGCAGCGCGTCCCAAGCTGCCAACAATGCCTTGCCCACTTCCGGCTCCACCTCTGTGCCGTCCCGCGAGATCTTGACCTCCCGGCCACTATTCCACGGGTTTCTGAGATGCTTCGTGCGCTCAAACGGGAGGCGAGTGGTGCATATCCACTGCAGCGGAAACTCCTGGCCCCACGTGGTCGGCGCATTGGCGGATTTTGTCTTGTCTGCTGATAGCGAGACAGGGGAAGCTGCCGGCTCAGAAGCGGTGATGTCTGATGGCCGGCCATCGGCTGCAATGCCCACAGCCCGAATGCCCGTTCGCACAAGCGCCTCTTCTGAGCGACGCACCCCACTGCCGTATATCCTTGACCCTGCCCCGCTTATCGACCGCGCAACCTGTGGGAATGGCGGGCGTTTGGGGGAAGAAGACGCATCTAAGGTAACGCTCGGACTCGGCGTTGGCGATGGGAACGGCGGCCGTGGCTGGTCGAGGCTATACTTCATCTCGATGTGACCAACACTTAGACCGTGGCCACCGGGTAGCATCGCCGGCGCGGTATGGGCATGTGCTTGGCTTTCTGACCCCTCCTCAGGTTCTTCTTCCCGTTGTGGTGTGATTTGCCGGTCCTCAGGTAGCGGTGAGTTCCGCACCAGATGACCGCTGCTGAGCATGGTTTCTGGGCTGCCAGTAGGAGATGGGTTGGGTCGTTTTGGAGGAGTCTGATCAGTGTCCCTGCTTGCCCATTTCACGGGATTGGTCGGGTCGACAGTGCCAAGCGGGCCAGACATCCTAACATGTCTGTCAGTATCACGTACTAGCCTTTCGCAAACACTATAACCTCGCATATCCGTAAAACTCGCCGCTCTTGTTCACGCTGAAGATGAAATACACATTCTTCGAGGTCCTGAATGCACGATCGAATACGCCCTCGTTGTGACGCTGCGTTGCCCAAACCTTGCGTTGCACGCTGAGATCCAAGTCTTCCTGATAACGCGATGAATTCGCCATAAGATTAAAAACACACAACAGACCTGGGTCAGCGACTTCAAGATGAAGAACCGTTCGGGAAAGTATTCTTCTAGTAAGCTCGAACTCGTCGATGCCCCCGAGCTCGTGCTCACATTGCTATCTGGCCTGGACAGCGTGCTGGGACGATGTGGAAACGCAGAAGGCGGAGCGGTATTGGCCGTTCTTTTCGGAGGACTGTCTTCGGGTTTCTGGCCCTTCCCCTTTCCCCCACCCAGCTTGGATTCTACCCATCGGCGGTGCATCCCCATCCCCCCGCTGGGCCCCCACACCCGCCCGCAAATCATCATCCTTCGCTCGAACTCGGCACAACAACGGCGGTGTTCTCCCGTCTAGTCGCAGAGGCACCCCATTGAACCGTCCAATTGCCGTCTGTAGCTGCTCGGGCGAGCGGTAGTTGACAAACGCGCAGTTCGACCGTGAGATGGGGAATATCGAGAGGACTCCGGCACGTGACGCTTCCCAAGGATTGCTGCCGCCCGGCGAGGGCTGCTCAGTTGGTGGAGGTCGTGTGAAGAATGCTTGGAGCTCGTCGGACGTTGCGTCAGAAGGGACGTTGCCAACCCACATAACCCATTCGGAGCGGTCTGCTGGTGGGGAGGGATGATATGACCGTCGAACAAGTGGTCTATCTCGTGGTTGAGGAGACGACGGAGCGGAGAGCGAGGCCATTGAGGACGAAGAAGGCGTTGATAATGAGAGGGGTAGAGGTGAACCATGGTATGAGGAAGCTGATGGACTTGCCGAATGGATTGGGGTGTGTAAAAAGGGGGACAAGGGGGACATGGGGTAAGGTTGATGTTGGTTAGAGGGCGGGGACGGGGGTGGAAATTGAGGGAATGACTGGTTGGTGAAGAGTGGGTATGGCATTGGTCTATATGTCGGCGAGAGTGGCCGCCTTTGAGGGTAGCCAGGCGACATGTAATGTTGATATTGTGGCTGGTAGTAGGCCATTTGCGGAGGATATATGAGGTATGGTTGGCCATCTTGCGGTATAGTATGTTGCTGTTGGTGTTGTGTCGTTTGGGGAACAGTCGATGGTCCAGCTAGCAGAAAGTGTCAGACATCTTGAGTGCCCCAATATGGCGCGTAGTACGCTGGACATCACCTGACGGCGTAAGTATCAGCAAACAACCAGTAGAAGCCAACTTGCGCACCTCGACTCCCCTCTGCCTCTCGACCTTGATTATCGACTTGCGGCGGAATTATGGGCAATGGGACCATGTCCCGATTCGTACAGAGAGACTGTAAGTTGTATGGGTCAGTTTTGTAGAGTCATCCTTGCATCCCGTGCACCCGCGTCACCGTTGACATCATCGGAGATTCACCCCACATTGACACAACTGGATCGTCGGGCCAGCCGTCCCGTGGCCATTTCTCTGTGTCTAGACGCGTCTATCTTTAATTGCTATTTACGCATCACATCGTGGGCAGACGATAAAAGCAAAGTCGAATGATAACGCGTCACATATGACAAATCTAATCTAAAGCACGTGACTTGAGCTTGATTCCAATATTGGTAAAACTCTTCGTTTGCGGAATGAGTACAGTAGATACAGTATTTGAAGCGAAATTGCGAGTTAATATACACCAGACCCAAGAGGGACCTCCTCCACGAATTCCCCGAGGTACGTATCCCAGTCAGCAACCCTAAATGCAGAGTAGTCAGCATCTTTCTACTTGCGACATGGGAGACAGACCCAAATCCAACAGGCGCACGTTCCCATAATGCGATGGTTGACTGACTGTCAACCTCCATTGTCGTTTCCAGCTGATAATAGTGCTCGTTGCTGACCCCAATTCTTTTCTGCACGCTGTCCCATGGACTTTCACCCGTGTTCGCCGCATTGCTCCGATAACCGTCAAGGAAGAATAGTTCTGGCGGCGCAGTCTCGAGCTGAGGATCATATGGCGGTGCGTAAAAACCGAATGAGTCTGCTGAAGATTGGGAAGCATAGGACGGGAAAGAAGCTACGTCGGGATGGACTGCCGGACTCGGAATCTCATCAATTGAGGGTGCTGACGATGGTGAACTTTCGTCAGGCACTTGAGTCAGAGGATGGTCGACAGCAAGCAGCTGTCTAAGAGTGCTTCTAAATGGCTATTAGAAATCCCGTTCGGCTGAGCGACAACACACACAATAATGCCCCCGCAGATGGCCATCTGATGAAATGGATTAGTTCAACCGGAAAGATTGGCATAAAGTTTACCGACATTTGTTTCTGCATTTCCAACACAGACAGGCATCGCAGGACATCGGCCATGTCTGTTTCAGCAGCTTTCGATCGGCCACCACCCCAGATATTCAGAAGCAAAACGATTCCTGCGGTAAACAAAGGTGTCTGGCAAAAATGTCAGCATTGCGCGGAACATCAGCTTGTTGTCTTGACCTGGCTGAACCAGATCGGGTTGTTGGGACGACGTTTCTGTTGGATCTGCGCTACGTGACTGCACGCTCGCGCTGCAGTGTTACAGATAGCGAGCGAAGGGAGATGCTGTAAAGTGGGTTAAAAAGGAAATAACACAAGTCGCAACAAGTGGATGCAAACAGCAGGATTGGATTCTCGTCGCATCGCGGGTATGAATGGCCGATGAATAACGATCCGTGTGTGATAGTAGCTGCAATGCAAGGCTGCCGACTGGTCGAAGAAGATGTCGTCTTCAAGGAGGCTATCGGGGTTCCACTGTACTGAGTTAAATGTCAGATTACTTCAGTTCCAACTTCAAGTTGGTGCAACATACGGTGTGGTGGAAGTGCTTCGAACCATCTATTGAGGGCCGAGTCAAGTTCGACGACGACTTGTTCTTCCCATTGGTCATCCCCAAGTCCAATGAGAGATTTGCTTCGATTTGATGAGTACTAGCGACAGCGTCAGCGGCAGAAGAGAACAAGAGGGTGGAAAGACGACCAGAATCTTGCAGCTGAAGGACAGTATCCGATTGAGCTGCAGCATGAACACGAAATAGTCAATGCGCGATGGCTGTTGCGTTGGCTGGCGAAACAATGGAGCCGAAGACTCGTCTGCGCTACCCCAATATTCATCGTCGCAGAGGATAGGAAGTTGGATATCAAAACTAGTGGTAGTTGAACCATTTACAATAAAAATGATCGAAGAATCGCTTACTCGTGGGACTGCAATGCAAATGTTCTCCCAAGCGCGGTGCTGATTTGGGACTCGAACAGAAACAAGATCCACGATGCCCGCTTTTCCAACTCTTGTTCGAATTGATGCCGGCGTTCGTGCTTCTTGTACCTATGAGCCCCCATGTCTTGGCTGAGTCTGACCCCAAACCCAACCAATGTCCAGGTTACGCGCGGAGTCGATGTACAGTCCAGAAATTCGGCTGCTAGCTGGCCGACCGTCAGCCCGCGTGAAGACGGGGACAAGTCTACGCACGCAATAACACTGTAAATCGTGCAAGGTAGGGGTCTTGTGGACCAAATGTTCCGTAAGTTGGACTTGGTCAAACCATTTCCAACCAGCAGTCTCAGCTGGGGAAACATCCACATTGGTCAAGGATACCCGGTCCGTCGAGTATCGTGCTGCAACAGCGCAAACGAGCAGAACGGTCTTGGCGAACCCGCCATGTCGCAAATGGAGTTTCTGTGTGACCTCCGCTTGAAAAGTGGGTCGGTGCAAGAGTGGGAGAAAGGCATTGACATTGTCGAAGTAAAGGGCAATGAGGGTTTCCAGCAGATCTTCGTCCGGGAAGGAGTAGTTTGGAGGGGTGTCTTGAGTGTTCTCCCACTGTTCTCTGTTAGCTTGTAGTAGCAGGGAAAAAGAATCAACGCACCCTTTTATCAAGCTCCGGACTGCTCGAGGGTAACGTGCCATCTTTCTTCCAAAGATCCACGGCAGCTTTGACAAGCATTCCCCCGCTCGACTTGCCCTGGAAGCCCTGGGCTGCGGGATGGTCGATAGAAAGTGCCTTAAAGCTTTCTTCGATTTGCGTGAATGCCAAATCATCGGAATGTGGCTCCGGAAACGGATTATTGAGTCGTTGGATGGCGTTGTTGATGAGTTGGACACCCGGACTTTTCGCAGCCCTTGCTTGGCGCAACAAGTCCTCTACGGTCTCGAGGCGGGCTTCAAGTGCAGCAACGTAGGCAGCGGAGGGTCGCGGATCTTGCTGACCATCGAATGGCTGGTCAAGATAGGTGCAAACAAAGTCGTGCTTCTTGCAATGTCCACAAAGATCGCCACCGCCACCTAGTTCGATGAATGTCAGAATAAACAGTCTCAGTTATTACGCACAACGACGTTTCTTGCGTCGACACATATCGCAGGCCCTGGCCACCCGTTTCAGCTTGCTCCTCGTTCCATCCTCGTCGGCATCAGCCGACATTGAGCCTGAGGTTACATAATCTCAGGTCGATTGAATCGAGCAAAAGCTTAATAGTCACGTGATATATGGTATGCTTGTTCCCAGGTTGTTCCCAGGGATTTTTGACTGGTCTCGTCGCGGCTCTGAGTCTGTGCATCTTTTCAATTACTTCGGGTGCGCCACACCGAGCTGGAAAGAAGGCATCCACGATTCAGAACCAAATGGCCGTGGGCCCGACTGCTCTCGGACTTGGCTCTCAACTGACAGCGTCGGCTGGTGGTGTTACAAGCACACAAACAAACACTTCCCGTCTGCCGTTGGCTGTGGAGCAAGGGTCTGTGGGTACCGGTCCCCATTATTGAGGCGGCTAACAACATCAATGCAAGGTGTCTGACAGTCCTCTGCTATGCGGAGTTTGTCAGGACAGTATAATTGTTTACATGTTGTCGTTCTGAATAGTCTTACTCATGACTGATATATAGTAACGCCTTCATACCATATCTGTATATAGGCAACTCGAATATCAGACAACACAACCGTTTCTGACCTAGGAAGCACTACTCATTGCAGATGCTGGCCAGAGAAAATCACCCTTGTCGAGCGGTATCTGCGTATAAAATTCACGCAACTCCTTGCTCAGTCGTGGTCGATCCGCTCGGGGAGTGTAACGCGGAATCGGACGGACAAAAAACATTGTCCGCCAGACCTGGCGGACGCGTTGGTACAAACGGAATGAATGTCGTTGACCTGGCTGACGTAATTGCCACCAGGTCAAGCCACTACACAGTTTGTCGAAGCGCTCGCATACCTCCCCAATGGTGGGTCGCATTGAGGGATCCAGTAACGTCATTTCAGTGACCAGGGGTTCCAGGAAACTCAGAGATGGACGGATTATACCCTGGAGAATCTAAGTTAAAAACTTGTGGGGAGCGAGACACACACACTTGGAGTTTGTCTTTGTCCGAGTAAAGAAAGGATTCTTTCAGAAGGTTGCCCAAGCAGTAGATGTCCGTCGGAAAGGGATTGCACAACTGGTGGGTTCTGAATTCCGGAGGTGATTTATCGCCTCCCATGATGACATATTCGAGCGGCGGCCCGTCCGAGGGATGATATTGTCTCGAGAGACCGAAGTCGATCACGAAATATCGTGGCCAGCATTCCGTGCGGGTGATATGACGGGCAGGCCAGTCGGACGTAGCAGACTGCCAAATATGCACAGGGTGATACCCAGAAGGAAAGAGACGGGAAGGGTCTTGAACAATGTTAAGTAGGCTACAGTCCCTAGGCGAAGAAACAGCATTAGGAAGCGTCAACGGACAGTTCACGAATATACCGATGTGCAACAAAATTCTCGTGCATGAATTCAAATGCCTAGGATAAGTTAGTTGAAGTACTAAGATATGAAGCGTCACTGACTTCGAATATCTGTCGAAAGCAATGAATCACCTCCCCCACAGTGTCGAATTTGGGTTGGTCAAAGTCAATGAGTCGTGGCATAACGATGATTTGTTTGTCAGAGTCCTCTGGGTCTTGAAGAACCTCCAAGATAGGTATGCAATGGTTTCGGGAGTTTCCGGCAAGTTCAGGAGAGGAAAACAGGCCAGCAAGCTCGACTTCGTGAGGGTGTACACTGGTGAGCACGGTTTTCAGCATGACAGGTTTGTTGTCTGAAATGCGATGTGCATCCATTAGACTCTGTTTCTATGAGATAATTAGTGGAGAGTCATGTTGCGATTCGAAGACGCACAAAATGAGCGGCTCTATAGTCCCGCAATGCTCGGCGCCCAACATCTGGTATAAAATCTGGATGAAATTTGGGTCTGAGGCGGTATCCTGCAACCTCTAAGAATTCCCGACGTTCGAACCAGTACAGTTCACGAGTTGAACGCTCCAATAGGTGGTAATCGCGCCTCGAAGACATTTACTTCCAGCATGGACATGAGGCAAGGTGCGCTTACTCACTTACTTTGATGGCCGTCACGGCGTTATTAGAGCCATTCCAAACTTCAGTTACTTCCTAGTTGGTTCAAACCTCATGTTGCCACAAACTTAGACCTCAGCGTGGTGTCCTCACGGCTATTACTGCTCCTTCTTTGCCTCCATGGCACTGGCTTTGAATTTCCTCCGCTCACCAGCGACAACAGCACTAAAAACGCTAAAGGCCGTTGACAAGAGCCTCGATAATGTTCAACAGACGAAAGATCATTGGACTGAAGAAGAACTCCATCCTGTAATACATGAAATGCGCCAGAAAGTCACAGCTGTCCTGCCTTCGTTCACTGATGCCTACAATCATAACAGAAATGCCGCTGAACGCGACCGAGTCTGTCAGAAGATCATCGACGACCCTCTTGGGGGAGACTTCAGTATCAAGACACGACAACTAGCCTCGGGGTGGAGCTCTGAAGCCAATAGACTATCGAAAAGGATCAAGGTGCGTATCGATTTTCGAGGTGTCCAATGACGAGTTGAAAGTAATGTATAAGTCCCCAGATCACTTCAGATCAAAAGCGGCAGGCGTATACGGGGTTTTTTTAAAAAAGATCCCTTGTAATTAGAATATTAGCATTTTTAAAAAACATCAGTGATTTACAAGTTGTCCCCTCATTTTAATAAAATCCACGCTGTCAAACTCCATATCTTTCTTGGCACCTTGCCATCAACATTTTTTTTCATCTTTTTTGGCCTTTCCCCTACTCAGTATTTTCCCCATACTTAAGGAATTTTCCACACGTCAGGTCTGGGGCCTTATAGCTACCACACTGCCCACCCTGACATGGCCTTTCAACTTTTTAAACCTTTTTTTGATCTCTCATTTCCCTATATAAAACCCGCCTTTTGGCAGGGGCATAAATTAGAGGCATTTTTTAAAAACATTCACACTGGTAATGAGAAGGCTTTTTTAAAAAAAACCCCGTGTACAGGTGAAAGCGGGGCAATCTGCCGCCCCCATATGAGTCCGTCATGGGAGCAGCAGGTGGTGTCGTTCAAAACGATGGATATGACTCGTATGTTCTCCGTTGGCGATTGTTCAAGAGCCCCAAGTCATGTACTGTCAAGTACAGTGACCTCTCAGGCTACCAACACTAGTGGATCTCAGACCAAAGTTGATCGTCTCAAGTTAGCACATATTCAATTTTCCGCCGCCAGACACTTATTTCAGACTACAGAGTGAAGCTTGAAGACATGGTTAGTCGTTGTCGTTGTTTGTGTGCAGGGCAGCCACACTCACTCAACTTGTAGCGAGCGAAGGAGGGACCCATTCTATTCCCACACAATGCAACCCTTACGCCCTTGATTGAGGTGGATCAGAGTCCGGAGGTCAGTATTTAGAGTACTGCTGTCCGTTGCCTTCATCTTATGATGGCTCAGGTGGGCACACAACGTGTCAATGGGCCCTTGGTGGTTCAAAACCCAGACACCGGGAGCATTGAAGGAGACCGCCATCACCAACGGTGAATATTTTTCGCTGATTCTTCCAGCCAGATTCAAACTTGAACCAGATTGAGCCAATTCACCCATAACGCTGTTGCTACATCGACAGTCGCGGAGTCCGACTCGGACCATGAACTTGAAGACGAGCCTGAGAATGCTGCCTTGATGGATAGTCTTTTGAGCCAACGCACTCAAGATGGGTCGGTGAGGGATTTGGAAGATGTGCGGGATGTTGCTGCCGACATATTGCAAGCAGGACGATATGCTGGCCGCGGGCACCGGTAGTCGAGAGGCGTCCAGCCCACATAATCCAGTTGTTGTAGATTTACAGTCGACAATGTCTTTCGACCAAAATGTTTGTTTATGCTTATCGCGAGCGTGTAGATTTAGTCCAGGTTAGGAAGCTCGAGGGATATCAGCTCAGTATTGGGAGTCAGAATCGACGGGGCGATGAGAGAGCAAAGTGTGACTAGACTTCTGTGGTCGGGTCGGGTCACGAAAGCTTACTTAAGCGTTCGGCCCGCGCGCGAAGCACTTAGCACATTGCTCTGAGCGCTCAAGTCCTAGAAGCCCAGCACAGATAATTTGAAGTGACCGATTGTAAATAAGAACCAACTCAATTCCTTTCTGTTGTATCGGGCTTTATCCGCGTGTAAAGAAAGGTCCAGCACGTTCACTGCATAATGGCAAAAGTAGTTCTCAACGCTCTCAGTCTCCCAACAATTGGCCACGGAGTTGAATACTTGTTGTTACGATACCATGAAAAAAAAATTGGAATACGATTACCACGCTGAGAGTAGTCCCGAGTGGAGCGACATCTTCCGTAGCATTAACGCCAGGATTTTTGTGCCAGGCGGACCCATGGAGGAGCACTTGATGACACAAGGCGCGCAAAGTGCTTAGCCCGGAAAGTGCAGTATCGATCAGACCCATCAGACGCGGTTAAGCCGAGTGCCGGTACTACACAGGCTCCAGGCCGCCCTCTGCCCCTTGCTCTCCCCTGTGCTGAGTTGTCGTTTGTCGAAAGCTTGGAGTGAACCTTGGAGTCCATGGATATCCGCCTGTAGTGTCCACACTGGGAAATTCAAGAAGAGTCGCCCACTCTTCGCCGCCTCTGGCGAAAACTTGAAACCGGGAGCTAAGAATCGATGGACAATCAGGCACACAGACAACAACAATTGTAGGTTGAATCGTACTTGTGCTGGTGAATGATGTAGTCGATGCCGGAGGTAGCCCGAGTTCATGCCGAGACGTCGTCTTCCTTCACATCAAAGTCGTTGTTGGTCATTCTCCATTGTCGGCAGGTCTGTTAGTAGATGAGGACAACGAACATCGTCAAGACGGGAATCACTGGTGATGGTGGGGGACAGAAAGAGAGCGCCGATCTGCTGTGATCATGTGCATGGGACCTTGCTTAAAAAGCAATCCAGTTGAGACCGTCACGGTTTCGGTTGCACATACTTTCCGCCTGCCGCCTGCGGGCCGGCGGCTGTCTTTTGAAATGTCTCAGCGTCCAACTCCGCGTCTCACAATAATGTCGGGAAGACTGTTGGTAACACGGAAGTCGATAGACAAACCTATGGATGATCATGACCTGGTCACCTATGAGGATCAAGTATGTGCCATCTAATCTTGGTTTACTTATCTGATCGATCCTGATCGCACCCACACTTGAAGTTGCTTCTCCCCACTATGGCTGCTCTGGCGCACCCTCCTCAAAACGTAGATGAGATCCTGGCCATCGAATCCGCCCTTATCTTCCCCGAATTCACGGCCGACACCGCTTGGGAGCTCGGAAATGCCCTCAGAACAAGGCTCCTGGATTTTCCCACGCCCGCAGTCGTCAACATCGCGCTGGCGAACAATAACCAACTACTCTTCCACTGCGCCACGCGGCCGGGCACGCTCCCTGACAACGACTCGTGGGTCTCACGCAAGCGCAAAGTGGTATTACGATGGGGCCGCTCGACTTGGGCGATGCACAACAAATTTGCTGAATTAGCCTACCTGCCAGCGGCACCAGAGGGACCAGAGGGCCAATTTGCTGGCTTTTATCAGCTCGGAGACACCGCTGGCGAGTATGCAATCCACGGTGGCGGCTTCCCGGTGCGCGTGAAAGGCGTGGAGGGTGTCGTTGGCGCAATTGTCGTGAGTGGGCTGCGGCAGGAATGGGACCATCAGGTTAGTTCAATGTTCAAGTTTCGAGCCGACACTCATTGTCATGCAGGTCATTGTGGAGACTGTCCAGCAATTCTTGAAAAACAAATCCGCAACGTAACTGAATTGAATTGAAACGACGAAGTACAGGGAAAGAGACCCTGAGATTTAGGAAGAAGTCTATTTTGTTTGTACTTGTATCATGATTCGGCTGCTGATCGTCCAATTATCTCGTTGCCTTTGGCTGAGTGGTATCTTCCCGCGCGGTACTAGTAGTAGCAACTTGAAGCGCCTGCGATGGCTCGGAGTGGTGGTTCAGCCAGCGCGTAAACTCGTCGACGTCCAACCATTCTGTGGCATTCTCGACAGCATAGTGTCCACGTTCAACTTGTTCAATTGGATATTTCTGCCGAGCTCAATCCCGTGTCCAATTTGAGAATTCAACGCACACGAACCTCACGCATGTAAGCGGACAGTCTTGCCTTTCCGGCGGCGACGATAATCATATCAACGAAGGCGGACATTGTGGTTGGTGCGAAAGGTTGTTGTGGTGGCAAGCAGACAAAGCGCCGGACAACGCATTTGATGACGTAAAACAGAGCTTAATTATTAGGAATACAGAGACACGACTCAACTCATATCGTACGGCGCATACTTCCAATATCTAGGACACTGTCAGCGAACCCAAAAGGAGGACCGAGGACGACCCACCCAGAGTTTTTCGGTGCGAGAATCCAGGGGACCACCAGACGCTTGACGATCCACGGGAATGGAGGCCATGTCTCCTTCAGCTCGGGAGGCGTATGACTGTGAAGTTGTCAGACTACTAGTAAGGCTTGCAATAACTTGAAGCTTGGGACTAACCATCGCATGAAGGGAAGGGTGACATATTTGTCTGAATGTGCCCGGACATACACCATCAGGTCCTTCCCTGCTTGAGTCAGCTCTTCAGCAGTGAAGACCTTCAATTTCTCCGGCGCGAGATCCTCAACCTCTTGGTCGAGATGCTCGAATAATGGACCACCCAGCGTTTCCACGAGATTCTTAAGCTTTGCTGCCTCGAATGTGGAGGGTTCGGCACGCGCCCGGTCGATGTATTTGAGGATTTCACTCAAACCCTTCTCGACAGTGACGTGTTGCTCGATTTCTTTGCTGAAATCGACCTTCTTCGAGAGAAAGGGAAAGAGCACAGCTTCTTCGCTGTCGTGGTGGCCGACGATAGAGGACTACGAGGGCGTGAGAATGTGTTCAGAAGATCGGAACTGTGGAACATACAGCCCAAGCTCGCGTGTAGCCGAGGAAGTTATCGAGGTCGTCGAGTGGAGGATTGTCGAGATGAGGCAGTATTGTCTTGTACGCAGACTTGTACAGGTCATGCGCTGGCTATTAGTGAGAAAATAAAGGTGTGTGTAGTGCCTGGAACACGCACTATTGGCCATGTTGTACTGCAGGGCAACATATGGGTCGGACATGGCTGTGGGAGAGACCTTGCGGGTTGGGAAGAGATAGACAGCGCCAATAGCAAGAGCAAGGACACCAGCGCTTGCGAAGACACGTATTGAGGGCATTAGACAAGCCGAGGTCGGGCGAGAGCTTATATATTCCTGGGGGCGACTCGGAGATGGTGGACGCGGTCGCAGCCGCAATGATGTGATGTAAGGCCCGATTCTCCGACAACGTATAAGGATCCACGTCCAACGAAATGTCAAGCTTCTCAAGCCTCGAGCGCAGATCGACGCGACCAACTCGCAGATACGAGCCAATCAGGGACATCGGATTCGTCACACGTTACGCTCATGCACCTCGACCACCATGGCGAGGCGTCTTTCCCAGTCAATCACGGACCCTCTTGTTTCAGTGTCGAACAAACGCATGTCCCAATCGTTCATTATGGAACCCTCAACTTCGGTTCTTGTCGACGAGCCAGATAACGTCCAGGAATGGGTGCAAGATTGGCGAAATGTTCTTGCAAAGGATCTCATTGAAGCGCGTATTGTAGAGATTGACGCGGACGCAACTGTCGAGGATGCATGCGAGGTGTGCTCTCTGGAGTTGCTTGGTCTGCATGAAACTGACTGCCCCAGTTATTGCTCTCAGAAAAAAGCGAGTGTCTTGCGGTCAGAGCATCCAAGGACGAGTTGATCACGGGTCTCTTCGACGTTCGTGGCCTGCTAATTATTCCGCCCTATGACCCAACTCCAACAGTTTGCAGACGTGAACGCCTTTCTGACTCTCGCTGCCACACGGCCTGCTCTTTTACGTGACGAAGACAATCCACGTGTGGATGCGATAGTCTCTGCTGCTCGTGCAGGTCGGGTCCCAGTTCATCTGGTTAGCAGTGAGTTACAGCTCATCCTAATTCTCATTGACCTGACGACGCATAGATTTGTCCGAGAAAAACCCTCTTGAATCAGTCCCGTCATCGGCGACTATAATTTCGTTGCTCCAAGTATTTTCTCGCGGCGCGCACCGTGTGCTGGTCTGCTCTGACGAATCCTCTTCTTCCTCGTTCCTCGGGATTGTTTCTGACAAACGCCTCCTCACATGGTTCTCTGAATATGAACCTGTAGCAAACTTCCTCGCGACTCCTTTATCTATGCTGCAACTCCCATCATTGCATCTATTTTCTATGGTCGTAACAGCAACGAGCAACTCAACCGTACTGGACGCGATGCGGCTCATGAGCGAAGAAGGGGTCAGCAGCGTTGCGGTGCTTGACATCGAAACAAGCGTGCTGCTCAGTGCTGTGAGCGTAACAGATGTCGGTCGCATCGTTGTGCCCTCCCAGAGCAATCAGATATTGAGCACGCCGCTGCAACAATTCGTCGCACTCATCAAGGCACCCCATGGCTCGACCGATGGAGCTGACCGCTATCCCGGTGAGCGTCGTCCCGTTGTCGATTTCTATGAGCCTTACTTATGTCCAGTTTACGCTGTCTCTCCCCAATCTCTTCTTTCATATACTATCCAGAAACTCTTGGCTAGTGAGTGCATTGTCAGTTGCGACAAGTAATTCCATTGACTTCCAACCAGCCAATTCTCATCGCCTCTTTATTACCCGTGACACCAGCGGCTCAGCCTCCCCAATAATCACCTCCACGCGCCTTACAGGAAACCTGAGTGGAATCGTATCCATCGTTGACAGTCCGTACTTGGCTCTGATACTGAATGCGTCAATTGATGTTTTTTCCAGTCCTCTCTGTATTCGCGCGAATGGCCAATCTAGACGTCGACCCCGCGCGGATGCAACGTCATCGGAGGACGTCGTCGGCCTCGTCCCATTCGCAGCGGTCTGCCTCACGATCTAGCAGTCGAAGCGGGGTTAGACTTGGTCTCAGAACAAATAGCATTGGCTCACAGTGAATGGCCTTTCCCACCCCCCAACCACCCATCGAAATTGTAGAAAAAGCACTGTATGATACGCGGATGACGTTGGAAGAATATCTAATCAGATTAATGCTCACATCACCAGTCACTGAGTCAGTCGAACTCCTCCTGCGAATGACTTTGGGGGGTCGACTGGTCTTGCAGTTCTTTCATCGACGATGAGGTGTAAAAGGGTTGATAAGGCGAAAGTCACGAATTGAACGAAAACAAGCAGTGCCTCGTGTACAACAAGTACCTTTTTTCGAACTTTTTTTCCTGTAACATCCTGTCATCTCTCCAACTTGAACTGCGGATCATGCGCCGAACATTAATCTGTGCGTCGCTTCAAGGCTTGACGCCGCGTCTGATGCTGAGCATGCGCAGACATTGATATCGGCACTTGCCGCGGTTGGGAAGTACCAGGGCGAAAGACTAACGGGCTTTCCTTTTTAGGGAGATCCACGTCTGCTTCCCTTTTTGGGACGTCTATCTTCGCTTAGCGTGTGTTCAATGCTACCACTCGACACCGTTTCTCTCGACTTGGACTGATGGTTTCGTTACTGGCGCGGCAACCGGACTCCATAAAAGGGCGTCGTCTCGTAGACTCTTGTTCGGAGTCAGAGCTTGAATCTGCCACTTTTTCTGCGACGCGCATGGAAGCCCAAGCGGTACCGCCAGGGTTTCATTGTCGGGAAAGCAGCCAAGATGCGATGTAGGTTCAAGTTCCCCGTGGATTCTCAGCTGTGTTCACAACCCTAGGCATCGTGCGAGAAATGAACGGGCGCGGCTGATGATGGCACGGTGCGTGTTTACAAACCCATCATCCTCGTATTACCGAGACTGGCGGACAGCAAGAGGGAGGCGCTCAAGTCGCGTCCTTTGGCCGAGCAAGAAGAAGCCGCTGCCCGGGCGAGAGAGTATCGCAAAACATATCGCGAAAAGTGGTCTGCCTATCCAATTCAGACAGCTTGTGCTCACACAGAATGGAAGGCATAGACCCAGCATTCGGTCCTCAGACGCCCGCAGAAGAGGGCGCAAATTCCTCGAAAAATTTGGTCCAGACCAGTGTCGGCAATACATCGAGCGACGCAAGTTCCGAGTCTGGGCTCCCAAGCCTGAGGAAAGAGAAAACCCCATGCTTTATGTGGCCGAGTTGCAGAAGGAGTATGACGAGCTTGCGAAGCGGGAGAGTTTAGCTGGAAGATATTAATTGTCAAGGGATTCTCTATTTGTGTTAGGTAAATACGTTTAGGTGTCCACCACCATTCAAGTTATTGCATCTCATACGGCGCGTACTTCCAATACCTTGAGAAAATCAGTAGATTCGAAAGACCGTCGCAGGCACCCTTACCCTGCGTTCTTGGGGGCAAGCATCCACGGAACCACAACGCGCTTTACAAACCAAGGAAGCGGGGGCCAGACTTCCTTCAATTCCGGGGGCGTATGGCTGGATTCAGCATCGTCAACGGGTGTTGCATAAGGAGCGAAGCAGGGCCATACCATCGCAAGAACGGGAGCGTGACATATTTATCTGCATGGGCGCGGATGAACAGGACATACTCCTCCCAGCCGCGCACGAGCTCCTCCGGGGCGAACACCCTTTTCTGGCGCAAGATTCGCGACCTCGTAGTCGCAGTGCTCGAAAAACGGGCCGGCCAGCTCTTCGATGAGGCTCTTGAGTTTGGCAGCGCTGAAGAGGGACGGCTGTGCCCGCGATTGGTCGATGTAGTTGATAAGCTCGGCGAGGCCGTGGTGGACAGCGGCATGCTGTTCTGACTCCTTGCTCAAGTCGAGCTTTTTGGAGAGGAATGGGAAGAGGCACAGCTCCTCGCTGTCGTGATGGCCGACGATATGCGACTATTTGGAGAATTTTAGCAGGAGTAAGAGAGAGATATCGACTTACTGCCCAAGCGCGCACGTAGCCCAAAAAATTGTCGAGGTCGTCGTGCGGTGGGTTGTCCAGCAGTGCGATTATTCGTTGGTAACCAACTTTGTAAACATTATGTCCTATCTAGAAGTGAGAATTACAGAGTGTGATTGGTTTAAAGCGCACCGTTGGTCATGTTGTACTGCATCAAACGATATGCGTCGGTTGGGTAAGAAGACATGATTTGACTGGAGCGCTAGAAACGAGGAGAGCGGAAAGGATGGTTGGGCCCGAGTTGGAGAGGGCACAAGATGCTAAAAACTGGTGCATAGCGAGGAGGTTTTATATGTTGGCTGAGATGATGATATGTGCTTACGTGACACGTGCTCCCGATTCTCCGTGGACACACCATCAACCACGCAGCAGTCGCCGTTTTGCGCGAGACCGATTAACGCAGCAAAAAGTGGCCAATCTGACTATTTCCGTGTCGGGACTGTGACATGCTGCATGGTTGATGCTGAGCCAGAAGTTGTGAGAGAGAAGGCAAGTCCTTGGAAAATGATGGCCCTTCCACCTTTTCGGTATGGCGTTGCTTAGAAGGCTCAATTTGTGAGAAAAGAGAAGGGCTGAAACGCACAGAAAGTACATTATTTATGGATACAATATGTTCGGAATATAACAACAATAGGTTAATCGTAATCGCCTAGAAAATTGTCAGGTAATCAAAGGCGAAAGGTTAGCCAGACAAACCTCCACCACCACCACCACCCTCATCGCCGCCCCCACCTCCGAGATCGTCGTTGTCATCAGCCTCCCCGTTGTCAAAGTAGTTTTCGGCATAGTCGTTGTCGTACTCCTCGTCCACATCGTAGTCCGATGGCGCCTGAGACCCGGCATCTGAGCCGTTTGACGCGTTTTCCTACCGTGGATGAGTGGACAAGACTAGATTGGAAAGCACAACTTGCATTTTCTTCCTCGTCTGCGATGTCGTCTATATTGAGAGGCTTTGTGGTGCTTGTGAGTTTGGGTGCGGCTATGTTAAGGTCAGATAAGCAGGAATTAGAGAACGGAAGCTGATTACTCTTGCGCTTTTTCCTGGGGTTAAAGTAACCGTCGAAGACATCTGGAGGGAAATATGGCGCGTGTAGATCTTTTTTCTTGAGTGAAGGATGGCTAGCAGCGGAGGGACGGTATTTGTCACTATAACGCGGTAGATCTGTGCGGGTCTCAAGCGGGATGCACGCGAAAATTATTCTGGACTGACCGCTTGATTTTGTTGACTCGACAATGTAGTAGGCGGATTTGCGCAGGCGGTCTGCAAAGCTAGTTTGGTACGCCGCTATTTTCTTCTCGTCCTCCGTGATGTCGCTGAGGACTGGAGGAATCATTGCCTAAGAAACTTGAGCGAGGAAGTTGGCCAGGTTAATTTTGGCGTACGGGATAGAGGGGAGTCTCTTCGATGGACAAGTTTTGCAAATCCGCATGGGTGAGACCCAGAGGCGGCGGCGCGGCGCCTCTGCCTCTACCACGGCCCCAACCTCCCCTCCCGCGTCCAGCCATATCTGAGGCTGCTGTTGTTGTCCGTGTGAATGTTGGGTCACGGCCCCAGTCACACGCCTGCATCTTGTCTTCTTCGCCCATCTTCTCTTTTATACGACAATGACTTCCATGGAGATGTCCCTCGACGATGTACGACTCTCGCCCTATTCCTACGTTCTCATTCGAGCCCTCTATAGATCATCGCCGCCCGCCCAAAAACCAGTCGTCGCCCCTCCCAACGTGGCAAAGGCCGTGCCCAAATCCTCGGCACTGCTGGCGTCAGCCCAGTTACCAAGGCTCGCGCAAAAGCGGCTGTTGCTGCAAAGACGGCTGCTGCCCCAGCTCAAACTACCGCCGAGAAAATCATTGTCTCCAACCTCCCGAGCGATGTCAATGAAAGCCAGGTCAAGGTGCTTTTTTCCCTTTTGGTCTCGCCCTTTCACAGCTCTGACACCGCCTCAGGAACTCTTCCAGACCACCGTCGGCCCTCTTCGCGAAGTCACTCTTCATTATGACTCGGCTGGACGCTCCAAGGGTGTTGCCACTGTCGTCTTCTCCAAGAAAGGCGACGGTAACAAGGCGCACACCCAGTACAACAACCGACTCATCGATGGCAGTTAGTAGCCTTTCCTCCGTCTTCGCTTCCCCTTGCATTCGGTGTGGAAAATAACGGCTCGTGCGACCCTCAAGGCTAGAGATCCAGTCCTCGCTCCCTGTCTTGTCTCTGCCTTGGCCATACCTCTACCACAAGTGCCCTAACATGGCGTCTTGTTTCCACGGTGTCCACCGTGACGAAAAATGCTGCAGCTGCTTACGCACTCGGCTACTCCTGGATCTGCCTCGTTGCATTGATCGGAGTGTAATAATGCGGCATTCTATTGGACCGATTGAGAGCTGCAATCGAGAATTGCCACGCGCGTTGGCACAACATACGGTTGGTTGGTTTGCCTTTTGGGTGGGGATAGTTTGCTGTGGAAACGAGGTTTGGAGGAACCTTGTTGACGGAGAGGGATTGGACCCTTCTCCCTCCTAACCGCTTCTAGACGAGGCTCAGCCCTCGAAGGCAAGGCAGAGACAGGGACATAGCGACGGCTGGATTCTCTCTTCGACAACACGTCAAGAACGCCTTTTTCGCCCACCGAAGTGTACTCTTCCATCCTCTTTCTGCAAATCTCGATGAAACGTGCGACTGATTGCAACACTTTTCTTCCCCCCTCCCCTCCCCTCACATCCATTCCCTTCATCTCGACACCCTTCAATCGAATATAGGACGGCCAATGAAGATCGAAATTGTGATGGACCCTGGCAAGGCACCTGCCCCATCGCTCGCCTCGAGAGTGGCCCCGGCTCCGGCTGCAAAAGGCGCTGCAACGGCTGTTAGGTAGAGACCGACCTATGGCTGCTCTTGGCCCCCCAACTTATCGTTGACAAAGGACCCCATCGACTCGTGGACGCGGAGCTAGACGTGGACGTGGCGGCGCTCGCCCCCCAAAGGCAGAAAGAACCCCCAAGACGGCTGCCGATTTGGACGCTGAAATGGAGGTTTGTTGATTGCCTTTACTGGGAAACAATTTGATGTCTGACTTGTGGGCAGGACTACACTGCGGCGACAACTGCACCTGCGGCGGCGGCGTGAGATATATTAGTTTTCCCCGTTTATTCCTTTAGTATCTGGATGTACACATATGCCTCTGTCTTTTATTTTGAGACATGCAAGAACAAGACGATGATGCGATGATGTTACGTAACGCCACAAGATTATCTTATTGTTCTTGCTTCCTGACCACCACCATGACTGACAAGCCTCCGCCGCCGACACCATACTCTGAGCGACCGGAATGGTCCGATGTTACGCCCCTTGCTCAGTACGAGAAGGCCAATCCACTAGCGCCAATTCTGTATACGGAAGAGTGTATGTCATGATTTGGGCTGACCATTGTCGACAGTCAATCTTGACTGTAACTTAGATAAAGACGCCACTGGGTACTTGCGGGCTGTGGTTCAATCGGGAGAGAAGAGCGAACGCGTGTTGCAGCTGACTGAGCATGTCATTCGGCTCAATCCTGCGCATTATTCTGCATGGCGCGTCTTATTCAACCTTTTCTACCAAGTAACCTAACCTTGACTGCAGGCAATATCGATACGAAACGGTTGTTGCGCTGGACTGGCCGCTCGATGTAGAGATGACGCTGATGGACGAGTTGGCGGACAAGTTTCTCAAGACTTACCAAGTGTGGCATCATCGGCGGCTGCTCATCATGTGCATCGGGCTGTCTGCGGCTGGGCGTGAGCTGGGGTATATCAAGCAGATACTCGCCCAGGACGAGAAGAACTACCACACGTGGTCGCACCGGCAGTGGCTGCTCGCGTTTTTCAATGATGAGGGATTATGGGCGGGGGAGCTTGATTTCATCGACACGATGGTGAATCGGGATCTGAGGAATAACTCGGCGTGGCACCACCGCTTTTTTGTCGTGTTCCAGTCGGGGGTGAGGGAGGGTGAGGAGGATCGTGAGCGGATAGTCCGCAGGGAGCTTGTGTGCGTTTTTTCTTGCTTTTTCTTGTCTGTTGCTGATATATTTGTTGCTTCAGATACGTCAAGCAGCATATATCGCTTGCCCCCAACAATGCCTCCGCGTGGAACTACCTCCGCGGTCTCCTCGACTTCAACAAGCTGCCTCTGGCCACCATCACACCCTTTGTCAAACTTTACACCGCCCCGCTGCCTGCCGCCGCGAAAGACATCGTGGATGTGGACAACCCGCCCCCGGGCCAAGGTGCCGAGCTCCCGTGTGTGGCAGCAGTCGAATTTTTGGCGGATATACGCGAAGAAGAGCGGAATGTGGACGAGGCGGAGACGCTTTGGCGCTCCCTGGCGGATGAACTCGACACGATACGCAAAAAGTTTGTCGCTTCTTGCTTTGTCGTGAAATGCTGACTGGTCAATAGGTACTGGGAGTATCGGATTGCACAGGCAAGAAGTGTATGACTTTGATTGTAGCATTATGAAGACTTGATTCGGGTCATTTATGGGGGAATAGCGCTGAGAAGTCCAAGTTACTGACTTCGAGCCTGTCTCTGCGCTTGAAAAGCACGACTACAGATTAAATGTGTACAGATACAGATACTATGAGAGCTCCAAAGAACTCCGCATTGGAGGCAGTCTCGAAGGCATCGCAGTGGATCGGATGGGAGCAAACACAAGCTCTTTTTCCTGTGGCTTCAGATCTGGCAACAGCTTCCCATCTGGCCCCATGACATCCAACCCTTGCACCTGTGCAGCGGCCGCTGTCTCCCAGGTAAAGGGCAACAGGAAGGCGGGGCTAATGACCATACGCATTCCAGCCATCGGCCCTGCGAGTATTTCCACGGGCAGCACAAAGTCCTCAGACCCGTCGACTGGGATCCGGTCCTGGTAAACTCAGCAAAAGCATCCGACAAAGTCTAGTTGTGCGTACGATTTTCTGCAGCATGATTTGCGCGGGGACACAGATGTTCTCCTCGAGCTGATAATAGACCCGGCCCTTTGAAGACGGTTAGCGTTGGACAGTGTAGGAGAGGAGGTTACCATCTGGCGTCGCTTCTTGGCGCACTGCTTGAGGGGGAACAGACGGTCGATGTCCCGCATCTCGTCTGGGGTGATGATTTCGCCGAGGAAGCGCATGTACCGCTCGACCTTCCAGGTCTCGTCGGGCTGCGGAACCTTGACCGCATATGCGTTGGCATAGTCGCTGGACTGTGTGTGCCAGGTCAGATTAGTCATCGGAGTAATTGTTCCAACGGACAAAACAGCGCAGTTGAACGCAGCGGGCGACGACGCCCTGCTGCCACGGGCCCCAGTGCGACGTGTCACCGTCCGACTGGAATCGCCGGACGTAAACGGATGTCCCCGCCTGTGTTGGGAGTGAGCGGGAGGGCAGAGATCAGCCAGCCAACTCACGCTGAACGCATCCTGTTTGTCGCCCAGATCAAAGTTGTTAGCGCGGACCCCGAGGGGAGGGAGGACGGCAGTGGGGAATCGCGAGTTCGGGGTGAAGAGTGGCGGGTATGGGCTCCATGGCTCGGGTTTCGGAGGAAGGAGCGTCGGCAAAGTTGGCAAAGTGATGGCAGTCGTAGAGTACAAACTCCGATTGGTTGATGTAGTATACGGCTGAGAGGCTCTCTTCCCCTTGCCCGACAAGCGAGCAAACGAATGGCGGCGCTGGCACTCGACGACGGGCACAGGCATGGTCAGAGAGAGGCGAGAGTAACAGGAGATGATATGGCAGGCTGTTGAGGTGCGGTTGCGCTTTTGTACTTGTGCGAATTTCCAGTGGCCACACAGCTGATGGGCGAGGCTCCAATGCATACATTTATTATTTTTGTGGGCTCCCGTCTGCCAGAGAGAACAAGGCCAAGTTCGCGGCATATCTCATCACTTGATTCGACGCGATAGAGATTAGCATGCGAAACGCGCAACTTCTCGCTCCCATGGGATTTAGACGCAGCCAATGGGCGGCGCACGAGATCAGGGAAAATGGAGGTTGTCAGGCGCCGCAATGATGGGGACCCACAGACCCTTGTTCCACGGATGAGAACAATAACGACGGCGTCTCCAGAAGACGAAATTTGTTTGCTCCTGTGCTAGTAATACCGACAGCCGACGCTGTCAAGGGTGAGCCAAGGTCCGACAGCAGCTGAGCCCGCGGCTTAAAGCATTGTAGGTCCAAGTTTGGTAACTTTGGTTCGTTGATGGCTTCTTTTCGGTATCTCCCACACTCGGTGTGGCGCATCGGATGCGTAATTACTGGATTTGGCTACATGCATGGCGATGAAAGATGCACAGACTGAGAGACGCGACACGTTGAAGCCCAGTGGAGCTCGATACGACAAGTTGAAGTTGATGGTTGGTTGATAAGTCAGATATCACGTACTGGCTTGGTCACACAGACTTTGCTCTCCATCGCTTCTCAATACTGAGCCGATATCCCTCGACCTTCCGAATTTACACACTTGCGACAGGCATAAGCAAACGTTTTGGTTGAAAGACGTGGTTGAACCAGTAAATCTCCAACAACTGGATCATATGGGCTGGAACTTCTCTGAGTTCTCTCGACTACCAGTGCCCGCGGCCAGCATACCGTCCGGCTTGCAATATGTCGGCAGCAACATCCCGGACATCTTCCAAATCCCTCTCCGACCAATCTTGAGTGCGTTGGGTCAAACATTTTAAAAAGATTATCCACCAAGGCGGCATTCTCAGGCTCGTCTTCAAGTTCAGACTCCGAGCCCGACTCCGCGACTGTCGATGTGGCAACAGCGTTATGGGCGAATTGGCTCAATCTGGTTCAAGTTTGAATCGGGCTCGAAGAATCAGCGAAAAATATACACCGTTGGTGATGCTCCTTCGATTGTTTGGGTTTTTGGACTACCAGAGGTGCCACGAGCCGCATGACAATAAGTGTCGGCTAGAAACTTGAACTTTGAACCAACCTGATGGTCCCATTCCTGCCGCAGCCCACTCACGACGATTGCGCCAACGATACCCTCTACGCCTTTGACTCGAACCGGGAAGCCGCCACCGTGAATCGCATACTCGCCAGCGGTGTCTCCCAGCCGATAAAAGCTAGCAAATCGGCCCTCTGGGTCTAATCCAGCAAATTTGTTGTCCATCGCCCAGGTCGAGCAGCCTCATCGTAACGACACCTTTCGCTTGCGTGCGACCCATGAGTCGTTGTCAGAGACGGTTCCCGGCCGTGTTGAGCAGTGGAAGAGTTGGTCATTTTTCGCCAGCGCGATGTTAACGACTGCGGGCGTTGGAAAATCCAGGAGCCTTGGTCTGAGGGTATTTCCAAGCTCTCAGGCGGTGTCGGGCGTGAGTTCGGGTCATAATCATCTATAGGTTTGTCTATCGACTACCGTGTTACCAAGCGTCTTCCTGACATTTTGAGACATTCCAGAAGCAAACACACACAAGACAGCCGTCGACCCGCAGGCGGAAAGTATGTGCAACCGAAACAGTCTCAACTGGATTGCTTTTTAAGTAGTTGGACCCCACGCACATAATCACAGCAGATCGGCGCTCTCTTTCTGTCCCCCACCATCACCAGTAATTCCCGTCTTGACGATGTTCGTTGTCCTCATCTACTAGCAGACCTGCCGATAATGAAGAAGTGGCCACCAACAACGGCTTTGATGACGACGTCTCGGCATGAACTCGGGCTACCTCTGGCATCGACTACATCGTTCACCAGCAGAAGTACGATTCAACAATTGTTGTTCTTGTTTGTGTGCCTAATTGTCCATCAATTCTTAGCTCCCGGTTTCAAGTTTTCGCGAGAGGCGGCGATGAGTGGGCGACTCTTCCCGAATTTCCCAGTGTGGACACTACGGGCGGATATCCATGGACTCCAAGCTTTCGACAAACGGCAACTCAGCACAGGGGAGGGCAAGGGGCAGAGGGCGGCCTGGGTGGGGGGCGTTACCGGGACTCGGCTTAAACGTCTGATGGTCTGATTGATCGCCTGATCTCGATCGCCGATACCGCACTAGCGCCCGGGTTAAGCACTTTGCGCGCCTTGTGTCATCAAGTGCTCCTCCATGGGTCTGCTCGTCGCAAAAATACTGGCGTTAATGTTACGGAAGATGTCGCTCCACTCTGGACTACTCTCAGCGTGGTATCGTATTCCAATTTTTCATGGTATTGTAACAACAAGTATTCAACTTCTTGGCCAATTGTTGGGAGACTGAGAGCGTTGAGAACCACTCTTGCCATTATGCAGTGAACATGCTGGACCTTTCTTTACACGCGGATACAGCCTGGTACAACAGTACAACAGAAAGGAATTGAGTTGGCTCCTCGGTCGCTTCAGATTATCACTGGGCTCTCAGGACTTGAGCAATGAGATTTGCGAGACCTTTGTGTGACCCGACGCGACTGTCACATCGTCACCGTTTCTTCAAACCACCACCATTCTCGCCCGACGCCACCCAATGCTGCCCCAAACCTCAACATCCTACGCACCCTCAACTTCCTTATCACACACTACTCTCACAACCACAGCCACAACCACAACCACATTACCCCAGTCCAACACCCATCGCATTCGGCGGCCAACAGACCAAGAACGTAAGTATTACCTGCGTCATCAAGAACGTGATGCCTTCTACGATACTAGCAGGGACCCGTGCTACGCTACGGGGCTCAAGCGATGATGGCAGGGGATTCAAATTAAGGTAGGTAGAATACATATACTACTGACTATTTTTAAGCAGATACTTGAAAATGTATTTAATTTTGCGTCGTGACATTCATATGCCCAAGATTGTGTCGAGCGCGAGGTTTCGTGTAAGGCTGGCGAGCCGGTGGAAGATCAGTGTTGCCAACATGCTGGCGGCGGACATTTGTGGCTTGCCGTGGTTGTGAAAGTGGGTCTGGTCGTAGTACGTGAGGCCTTAGAGGTGACTGCAGTATCGAAGATAGTTAACATGATTCTTAATGATGTAAAGTTAGAACGGTCAGAAATGAAGATAAAAACATACCTGGCTGTGTGTCTGGTGGCGTCGAAAGCTGATGTCGTTCTTCATTGGCATGCTTGAGAGGGCGGATAGGGCGGGGGACCAAAGAAGAGTGAGAAAATATTAGGGAAAAAAGTTAAAGAAACCGGCAGACCTGGTCTTCCAGGTTCCTGCGGCTGAAATGGCAGGATTCCGCACCAATTTCTCCTGTCGAACAGTTTGCTGTTCCTCTCATTTTCAGCACTGTCGTTCCCATCATTGTCGCCGGCCTATTGAGCGTTTGACGCGCCTTAGATTTTTGCGTTGCTGGAGGGGACGGAAGAAGCAGCTAAACCAAAACATTAGCTCGAGCCGCTGGAAAAATACAAACACAAACCGTTAATCGATGTGCATTTGCAGGCAGCATTAGCAATGGTGGTGGTGGTGGTGGTGGTGGTGGAGGGGGAGGGGGAGGTAGAATGAGCTACAAACACGTACATATGTAAAAAAAAA